ACACGCATAAAACATCTTCCGTACCTATTTACAGTGATTGCGCTTTACCATTTCTTGCGCATTCTGTTTAAAAAACAATTGGGACACCCTATATAATCCAAAAGTGAATAATCTAAAAATTCCCTTTTAAATACAAAGAACTTTTTTATTTAAAATTCCTTGATAACTACTATAGGTTTTCAGAAAAGTATATGGGTCACCTTATATGAGACACCCGTTGCATTGTCGTGCACATGGTCAAACGTCTTATATTGATTTATTTGGAATTTAAAAGGATAATATATCGCCGGTTTACTGCTGTTTGTTCCGAAATATCCGCCAATAACTACCAAATTTTTTTTTTAATTCCTTGGTCCGGTTTGGATTCCATTTGATGTAAATAAAACAAGGCGCTGCATAAAATGTTGTACCGGCACAGCTGTGGAGAAATGCGATTCCCGGTAATTTATGGGCATATTTAGCTCCGCCATAAATTTTATTACCTTAATTACATTTCGAAACATTTACGATATAAGCACAATGGCGTTTTACTATTGGTTTCAAATAGTCCCCCTAAACTTTGGCAAAAATGAAATTAGTCGGAATAATAGAAACTGGTCGCAGCCAGCCAGCTCTTTATCTGAATCAAATAAAGTGAGTAATAATTTAAAAAGAGACTTCATTTTAAAATAAGTCGGGCTGTAGATGGATAGGTACGAAAATTCCGATTTTTTTTTTTTGCATTTTGACTTAAAATAACCCTGCCGCTTATCAGTTATTGTATATCTCGCAGGCTTATGCTCGGAAACTTTTATTATTAATATATTTTCGCAGTACGGCAGAAATAATCCCATATTTTTAGTGCAAATTTATCTCTCGTATTTCGTCGTTGCGCGGTATTTGTTGCTTCGCGAACGATCGTGTTTCCTCTGTCATCGTTGTTTCTTATCGAAATAACAAAAACAAAAAACTTATATCTAGACGATATCCTAAAACAATGGTCCCCGCAAACTACTACGATTTGAACAGCGAAATAAATATCCAAACATACGTCCGTCTAAAGTATGGTTAAGTGTAATTGTTATGCAATTAAATTTGTCAAAATTTTAATGAATATGGTCATATTTCTTAAGAATCATATAAAAAAAATATTTTGTTCCATCTCGTAAATATTTTGTAAATAAAAACGTAATCCACGGTAGAGTTCTTCGTGCCTTTTAAAGAAGCGCGGTTGCTAAAGCTTTTCGTAAAAAAGAATTACGTCGATGCGAATGTAACAATGGCACATTCCACTAAAACCACTACATTGTCAAGCCCTACTACGCTAGGTGTAATGAGAGTGTGGGAAGCAGAAACAATTTACATTTACCTACCTAACCGTATAAAATCTACAGGTTATTTTGTCTCATATATGTAGAACGCATAAGTACATAGATACGGTTCGTTTAATTTGGCACACAATTTCATAAAGATTTTCAAAAATATCGCAGCTTCAGGTATTCAGATAAATTTATTATTTGTGATATTGTAGAAATAGATAATACCTTATTTTTACTTAAACGCTGAAGTAAATAAAAGGATAAAAAGAAATGTTTTCTCGAGTCTTTTTAATTCGACCAGCCCGTGGCATTACTCCGAAGGCCGTCAAAGCTGTTGAATGCGACATATACAGGGTGATTCATTAATACTAGAGGCATGTTGCTCATCTTCAAATAAGAAGGTTCATAGAAACATGGGATGGAAAACACTTAAAACACTAATGAATCATCCTCTATACTACTACACGTCTACACGTCGGTATCTGGGTGCAGGGGGTTTTCAGGAGTGTTTCGCAGATTTCATGACCATCTAATAATAATAATAATAATAAAACAGGTATAATAAAAAAGAAATTCCTAAAACGTGAATAAATGCTGAGTACGCAATAAATAATTAAATCCGGTAAAACTCTGAATCATAACACGTAAATCGAAAGCCGATATAACGTTTTTTTGGGGGTGTCTGTGCCGTTCGAATAATCTCACTTGCCCTGACACCAATATGATTTCAGCTTTTATCGCTTTTGCAAATTTCGATAACTAAACAAGATTTCAATAATTTTATATAAGTGTGTCGCGTATGAATGAAACGTAATAAGCGTGTCCGCCTCGCCAAGTAAATGAAAGTTTTTAGTTGCAAGAGAATGAGATTGTCGAAGTTTTGCCCGCACTTTGAACTTGCTCGTAACTATAGTTAAGTACAAAGTTTCGCTTCGACTATATCGCTGTTAGCAAGTTCGTGCACTACCTGTTATTCAGATTTTGTCCGCATACGGGAAAATTTAATTATTCCCGGATTCCTATATACCTACTTAGAAACGCGATACGCCACGTTATATCTCATTCGTTTCCCAAGGTAAAGCAATACCCTCCGCTTGACTACAACTTAAATTGATACCCATTTATTTTAAAAGAGGATTGCGTCTACGTAATATAGAAAAATGATATGTGATAATAAATAATTGATATTGTTAAACAGACTGCAGCCTTAAATGATTTTACCAAACCAATATATTGCGATTTATAAGCCAAGCCACGTTTAATATACTAAAATGAGGAAAAGGTCAAAACACTTTATGACGCACGCATCAAGTGCTTCAGTTATCATTGCATGAGGCGAACTATCGATTTAACTCTCGCATCGAGTATCCGGTCTACCTACTTGTTTAAATCTACTCGATCGCGATTTTTAATAAATACCACACCGAATTTATCCTTTTGGTTCAAAATTAATCCCGTTGAAATTAATTTTAGTGGAGCCAACAAGGCGGCATTATAAAAGTATCGACACTATCTCTTTTTAGATAGTCTGATTCATCTATTAGCCTTTCATTGCACATTATTAATTAGGTAAATTTTAAACGTTGACAATTTACACTGCCACATTAGGTTAATTCCGACAATAACGAAAGGCCTACTTCTAGCCCGATATCAAATTTCTTTTTAATTGTCCCATTTTTGTTATTGGGCCTTTGTCTCCGTTAATTGACAAATCTCACAAACACACTAATGGATCTATTTCAATTCCAACGCATCATCAGCAGAATTGAATGACTCTATTTAATCTACTTTAAGGAATGCGATATTGTTGATGACGCCAGTCATTTAAAAAAACTGTTTCTGGCTGTGCAAAAAATATTACCATATAATGTCGCTTGATAAGTAAGTAAGTAAGGGCGGGGCATTCTTTCGTCGCCTGGATTAAGATCTCTATTTTATTAGAAATCGACCAGAATGGTTAAAAACACAAGGAATATTTTTGATACCGTGATATTTTAATCGACCCGTTAACAGGAAGTTTTCCAGTCAACCAGCTGATACTGACATGAGTCAGTGCATGGCCTAATCTAAAAAAAATACGTTTTAAAATCAAAAGTCGCTCCATCTTGGGCCTAGCGGCGTAAAATATCACAATCCGCGTCGTTTAAATTAGCTATACGAGCTGCTTAATACATTTCCCTTCAGCGCGTATAAAATACTTGGACCTCTCGAACACAGCTGACGCCAGGGGCCATTTTTATAAATAGATTAATATTGATCGCATCTTACCTGCCGAAGAAGAATCCTCGTTATAACCTTACGTGCTTTTGAATTTTGTTTGCAAATATTGTTAACTTAGTTGGTGTACACCTAGAGAAAGTTAAGAAACAGAAACCGAAAGGCAAGTAGAAAACTTGAGTAATTTTTTTGACCTGTGAGGTATTTTTGAAAAATTAATTTATTATTCGGGATGAGGGATTGTCGAAATAATAAAACTCAGATATTCGATAAATATATTAGCTTTAATTAAACCTACGTATATCATTTATTCAAGGTATATGCTAGTATGAATGTGACACTCAACAGACAAACAACATTTCGAGAAATAATAATTTCATAACCGATAACCGTACATGATGCTCGGATCGAATACCTATTTAGTCAGTAACTTACATTTATTATTTGTTTCATTGGAAGACTCAGTTTTAGTATAGCGTAACCTAAATTATAAAGTGCCGCTGGACATCTGGAAATGGGAGACGGGCCTCGTAAGCTTGTTAGAATAGTCTCCTAGGTTAAGTTTAAAAAATTTGAAACTGTCCTTAGTTGTCAGAAAATTGACAACACCGCCACGCCAGCTTTCATACAACAAATCGTTATTATACATACGAACTTAAAATGGCTTTTTACACTTTATAGAGTTACAATTTTGTTAAAAGACAAGCGATTTCCATATTACCTCCTTTTACCACACACACGATTCCTCTCGACAAAAATAATTTGATAAAAAACTGCACCTAGCTTAAAGCTACAAATAAAACCTTCATAAGATATATCTATTCCAGTTCAGTAATTAAATTCCACATTACCGGAATAGACATAGACTTGGATTACGATTTTCTTAAATAACGATTTTTTTGATTTTAACAGAGTTAGAATATCAATATTACCCAAGATAGATTCGATATGGAATCGAGTTTGATTTAATATTCCCTTGCCTATTCCTTACGTCATTTAAGAAAATCACAATTGCTATACGCGAATTGTTTGTCTCATTTAAAACTCCCCATACAATTGGCATATAATTTTTTAAACTGTAATTCTTAAATTACAACACTGAGTATGTTTTGCAACTTCATATATATTCTATGCTACTTAACTATTAAATATTTTTAAAAGTCTGAATTAGATATTTGTAACGAGTTTTATATGAGACATATTAAACTCGATTTTTGCTAGGCCTAGTACAACGAAATTTTATCTAGTTTAAATCAGTTTTTATAAAACCATTTAAAGTCTACGTTTATATTTTATACTTTCAACTTAACAAAAATGTATGACATTTTCAAATAGTTATTTACAATAGCAGATCATTTGACTATTCTAAAATAACCTGTATAATAATATTCACAGATTTATTTTTAAGAGTATTGTCATAATTACAAATATATATATATATATATATATATATATATATATATATATAAGTATAAAAAACGGTCGATGATCCTTTACTAAAAAAACGCCCGTTGTTATAGATAAATTAAAAAGTTCTAAGTTATGAACTGTCTAAACTTTTAAAAAATATACCCAACTTTAGTTATAAATATCACATATATATATTTATTTTCTGGAATTTTAGTTGATCTACTAACGTACGGAGATGTTAAACGTGCAGCACTTGGTGTATAGTTGCATATCTATAATCAAAGAGCGATGCCGCATGAAAAAAAAGCATAGATAATAAATTATTGATATGCCTTCGTTAATTATTGCATTGTATTGGTGATTAAAAACGTACTGGGGTATAATGTTCAGTCCTGCAAAACTACTGAAAATATTAAAAGCATCACCTTTGCATAGATTTGATTACATACAAAAGTTTTCTGAACAAATTTTAGTTGACGACGCACCGTTTTAGTTAGTTAGGGTCGCATTTCAATCAAACATCCCCTCGAGGCTAAGACATATAACACATCGGCAACTCTCACACAAAAGCATGGGTGGTCATTTTTCGTACATATAATGGTTTTTAAATTTAATATTCTAATTCATTATTAATTTTTGATTACAAAATTTTTTCTATTACATATAAATCCTACATTGATGCTACGCAAACTATAGTTATGTGTTATTTGGCAGAGCCTACGTAACTAGCAATGGATAGATATATTACAAAACTTAATAGATAATAGTCACTCATAAGCGTGGTTTTCCTAAAACCAAAGATTATTGTCTATCATCAAAGGTTAAATATTAGTTTATTTCAAACTTTAATAATATTATCATTGAATGTTTTAAAAATATTACCTTTCCGAAAGATGATCAGGTTTCTGCATTGCGCAATTATGTACAAATTCACGAACAATTTTTTTTTTAAGTTTCTTTCATAAATTGTATTCAACAACATAACTTTCTTAGTTTGACGTATTGTCATTGATAAAAACAGCTAATCTATCAGTAATATATGCAAATAAATTTACATTACATTCGTCTAGTCATAAAGTGATATGAGCATTTCATTCAAATGTCACATTTAAATAAGTTTTATATTCTATTGAAATACGGATGATCACGACGTAAGGACAAGTAGACAATGCGCGCATGCTACCAATAATGTCAAAATGCTTAATGATATCGTGGTCGACTTTCCACAAATGTGGATTTCAATTTCCTAAAATAACGGTTTTGTGATTTTCGTGCAACAGGCGATAAATTAGACCAAGTATTACCTCGGGGTGGTAGTTGATGCATTTTGGCGGGCGCCTCCTGTAGAGATTTGATTTGGGTTTGTGTAAACATCCGGTGTCCTTCGCTTCGTAAACCAGTTCTTGCGGATTAATACTTAACTGCTTACTACCACATGGACAAGTGTTGTCCACTACCAGAAGAATTAAATTACTAAATGGTATCTTCTGAACACTGAATGGTCTACAACATTTTTGAATGAGTTTTAAACACAGCATAATGTAGATGTGAAACGACCTTTCACAGCCTGTCACGTGACAGTTGGTGAGTTTCCCTTTTAGGGGATTATTTTGACCGCTTGTGTTCAGTCTTTCAGGTTGCAGAATGTATAAGTCAACTTTCCTATCGCACGGTCTAGTGCCAAACTGTCCGAGGTCCACCCCTTCTAGCGGGTCTGATTCGAACGGAGGCACAAACGGAGGCGTGTATATATTCACAGGTGGTGGGATAATTGGATTTTGTTCGTCTATAGTGTCTTCTCCATTTGCGTAGTCGTAATCAGTGTAGAATTCTTCTGAAAGCGACGGTTGTTCGTTAAAATTCCATTTTCGGCCGCACTACTTACCATCTTCGTGTGAGTAATAAGACAACGCTGTGGCGTATGTTGATTTAAACTTGCCGACCAAAAGCACTAACGTTTGCAAGAGAAAGTTTGTAATATGCTTCGTGGGAGAAAACATCTCGATTTTGTTCGCTTTTCCGCTGAAGTGGTATTTGTTGTTCGAGCAAGAACCTTGGTAATCGTAAACTGCGATTTTCCTGTAAATCCGGTCTTGAACCAAGGAGTCCATTATCGTCCCATCGATCTGCCCGAAAAATCTTCCGGTGTGCTCGCTTTTTTCCGAAATTATTACGAAACCATTATTATCTAGCACGTAACATTCCAGCTTTTCGCTGGCGCACGATTTCTTGCAAGAAGTGGATCCCGTACACTTTGAGGTGATGTTAAGAAAGTGTTCCGCTATAGCAGAGTGTTGAAACTGCAATCCGACCACCGCAGCCGGTGCCCAATGACCCTTGTTTTCTACAAACACCGCATGGGTTGCAGTAATTAATGGTTTGCCCGTTGCTCCCACGTCAAACGGGACAGAGAAAACAAAACTTTCCGGTTCAATAGAATGCTGATCTACAGCTCTTCTGTACCAGGTCTCGTCCATGGCTCTCGAATTGTTATCACTGAAGTGCCTGTAGATATTTTTTTCTAATTGCTGTCGAACGTTAGAGCAGATACTTACGGTCCATCCGACTCCATGTTCGTTAAATTAGTCCATCTCAACAGTCCACTCCTTGTGGCAACGAATGACAGCGTCCCATTAAATATGTCATATCCTTGGCTGCAAAATATTGAATCTATTGGAATCCGTTAGTTGCTGTATTTTTTTTTTGCTAATTACATCGGATAAAGACATTTATTTTAAGTATTCCATTTGTTATTTCTTGTTTATTTAGGTCGAAGTAGCTAACAGTTCGCCAATCATCCTGTTGGCTTCTTCAGAGCTTGACTGAAACTGGCTAGCAGTTTACTCTGTACTTGCTTTTATGTTGTTTGAGGGGGGCGGAGCTAAATGAGGGACATAAACACCATCTCGGATGACTGATTCCCATATTGGTGACAGGAAGAGACCTGAGTCGTGGTCAAGATTTTTAGGTTGGTTACATATTGTTATCAGTAAGAAATCAGACTTAACATTGGGTCATTGTGTTTACATTTTTGTCACATCATAGTTTTATTGAATAAAAGTGTATGTCCGGCTTCGTGATTGTGTGCGGCAACTGTCTTAGCCTTAAGGCTCTTTCATGTTCTTCGAGCCTAGTTGATATTTTCCGGTCTCTCCAATGTATTCTTTGCCGCATATGCACGGAATGCCGTAAACTCCTGGCATCTCAAATGGAATTTTGTCTCTGAGGGATCCAAGATGTTCAGAGATTTTTGGACAAGTGGTAAATCTGGTTTTGAACTTTTGATATGTGGTCCGTGATGTTTTGAATATAAGGGAGGACAACAGTGGCAAGTGTGGGATTGCTTTCAGTTTCATCGCTATTGGAAGGTTCTGGTGAAGTGTATTTCGTGATGGAACGCTTAATATCTTTAATATGGAAATTATTAGAGAGAAGAGCAGAGGTGAGGTGCGTTAATTGTGGGTTCAATGTGACAATGCATTAAGGCATCAGTCTGTGTGCGTAGGTTTTCTGTAAACACAATGACCCAATGTTAGATCTGATTTCCTATTGATAAGAATATCTAAGAATGTTATTAGTTTCTATTTCAATGGTAAGCAACCTAACAATCTTAACCGCGACTCAGGTTTCTACCATCAATATGGGAATCAGTCATCCGAGACGGTGTTTATGCCCCTCATTTAGCTCCGCCCCACTCAAAAAATATTAAACAATATAAAAGTTCGACTCGACAACAACCGACGCAGGAGGAATCCAGAAGTTTTATAAAAAGTATTACAGTAGCCTGTGGAAGTTTCTTTGAAAAACATTCATTCATACTTACCGAATCCTGAATAAAGCTTTTACAAATATTATAATTCATATGATTGTTCACATAAAGACAACAGTACAATTTTTATACAGAGGAACGCATATCAAGGTTGATGGCTGTACTTGATACGCGCTTCGTGATCAAAACAAAACAACAAACGTAGAACACTAAATTACACTAGTTTATAAAAAAAATCATTATTTTCAATTGAACGTTTACCTTTTTAATTGTTGCATAAGTGTGCCAATAGGGCTAATGTGCAAAGAATTAATTAGTAAAATTGTTGCAGCATTATTTAACACAATTGGTGCATTAAAATAAAAAAATATGTATTTTATATTTCACGTTTTCATGCTGTGCAGTGACAATGGAACTTACTGTTTCTCTGTCGATCTGTATTTTTCCAGACCTTCAGTGACCATTGCGTCCAGAACTAGAGATTGAATTAGAGTTTTATCGCCTACGAACGTAACAAATAATTGTCATTGAGCGTTAAGTGTCGTTTGAAAGTAGCGTCTTACAATAATATGCGTCCTTGTCTTGTTTTGACGAAAAATGATGATGTTGTTCTCTCTGCGACGGTGATCGAGGTCGCAGTGACATCCACCTCCATCCCGGTCTCCTACTTCTGGATAAAAAGTGAAGTACTCTTTCCTCTGCTGTTTTAAACCATTGTTCTCCAGATGTACCACTTGTATACTCGCAGTACACCCTTTAGGAAACGTTAAAGCTGAGGTGTTGGTGTCAGTTTTGCGTCTATGACTTACCAGTCAGGATGCACCCTCCAGTTGGTGCCTTTAAAATAGTCGGTGACTGAAATGAAAGGTTTTTAGTGGATAGATTTTTATACGGTCAAGAGGATGTACCGTTTTTTTGGCTGTGTTTTATTTCCTGTTCGGCGAGTAACTCATACATGCCATAACCTTCGGGTATCGCGAGTCCCAACGAGAATGGCGTACCCTCGATCGGGTTGTAGAAGTATTTATATCGCCTTGTTGTCACCCGCCTCTGAAATTGTTTTGTTAATAGTTTTTTGATCATTCAAAAACTTAGCTTATTTCCTTAATTTAATAATTTGAGGTGTAGTTGCTTACCATATCGTCGTAGTGCACTTTTACGTTAAGTTCAGTCTCTCCCTCTTTTTGATTGATCATGTCTTGTCGTAGCTAGAAGTTGGTGATCGTTAGCATACTAATAACCAATACTGAGAGTGCTGCACTTACGTCAAGGAGAGCACTGTGGTTTTCACGCGGCCCATTTTCATTTTCCGTGAGCTCCACCTCGGATAAATCTATGGAAATGTATTGTGGTTCTAAAGTGTCTTCGTATTGCTCACTTATTTTCTAGAAAAGTTATGATATAAATGCCACGTTGGTATTAAGTACTATTTGCAAACTTACCGGAGGTTTTAGTGCCGGGTGATACAAAACGTGACCGTTATTGTTAACGATAAAGGAATATCCGTTTACTCCGAGCTGGAAGATATTGATGCAATTGGTTAGGAAATTAAATAATGGACACGTTTATTATAATATTTATTATATAAATCGTCACCAAATAAAATTGCAAGTTACCTTGTATGGCGGAACTAGCTTTTTAATTTGATCTAAAGACACATCGGTACCGACAACTCCCAAAACATTCGCTACTCGTACCTATAAACAAATTAATGTATTATTACGTCAAAATAGATTTTATCGATCTAGGAGCTACCGTGTGGTTTCTGCGATCAAAAACTGGCGTCGTGACGGTTGTCATTAGTTGACCCACTTTGTCGTCTGAAAAACTGTCAGCCTGAAATATTATCATTTAATAACAGAAAGACGACGACTGAATTTAATGTCCGCTTACTCTTCCTCCGACATAAGCCGGAGTCCATTGGATGGGGTGGTCATTTTGATACATGACCATGGGTCTAGCCATAACCTCTATGTAATGAAGTACTTTTTGTTTTATTTCGTCGTAATTTTGTATTCGGGAATAGTAGCCTATAAGCGACATAAGATACATTTAAGCCATCCAGAGTCTGTTAGGACTTTTATATGTTAGTGATCAGCTTATAGTCAGAGGTAAAAAATCAGAAGCTCAATCCTACTTTAACATAGTATCTTGATATCCAATAAAAAATTATATTATTCCAAAAAGTGAAGGTCTGTCGATGTTTGCTCCAGGCGTTGAATTATCATTGTCATTTTTAATTCTCACCTTTATTTTCGCAAGCCATCCAGTGCATGTCGGCTGCGCTGTTGGAATCTTTTCCCACGAGGTACGTAAATATTCGAACAGGACGATGAGGAAAATTGTACATTTTGAATATATCTTTGTAATTAGAGGGAGGTCCGTCCGTTATCAACATTATCGCTTGGTTACATTGACACCCGTGACCGGTGCGATTGTACTAAAAACATGCATATTTATATGTAAATGCTCTTGATTCGAAGGATGAAGTTACCTTGTGTAAAATTTCGAAACCCGTGATGAGAGCTGACGAAAAATTCGCTATGTTTTCTTGCTTAAAAGTCGCTAGCGACTCCTTTAGCCATCTGAGATTTTCGTCGGTAGCCTGAAAACGTCGATTGCTTTTTTAATTTCCAGTTTGTCGTAAAAGTTCTTCCACCGTTTCTCCCGGATGGGTAAAATGAGCGCGATTCTTAAAGTTAATTTTTATAGTCAGAGAGGCGAAGGTGTTTTCCAGTTTAAACGTTTTCATTGTTCCGAAATAATTTGTAATAAAACCTTCAATAAAACGCTGTTGTCTGGGCAAACGCCACTCGTCGCAGATCGATATCTAAAATTTTGTCGGCGGCTGATATTAAATTGCTGAGAGAAAGAATGTCACGTCGTTTTCGTTGATTCAAAACTATAAGTTTTATATTAGTAACCCATTACAATTTTGGGCTAAAAAGTTCTTACTAAGCCCCTTAAATGAGTATCATTATCTAAATATTGGTTAATTCTTTCTGAATAAGACGATAGGATGAATGTTAGAGACAATAATCAATTATATTTAAATGGAAGGGGCTGGGGGGAATTTTATGGTATCTACGGATAGATCTCATCGACCTCCATCTTTCGTAAAAATTTCAATCTTCTCGGAGCGACGTAGGTATTTTAAAAAACTAAAAATGTAAATTTTTGGACAAAATCACGACCAAACATTCATGAAAATTTGGATCGAGGTCGATAGTAACCGATCCGGCTCAAATTTGGCACGAAGATAGGGGGTCGGGGGGGTATTAGTCCTTCCGGGGGACATAACATTAACAAAAAAAAACGATTTTTTTCATAAAATGTTTAATATTTCCGTTATTTATTACTCTATTAGTTTAAAAACCTATACATTATAAACTTTGGTCTTTTCTCTATTTAATGATACCAAAAGATCTTACACAAGTTCTATAGTTTTTTGTCGGGAATGCTTTTTGTCGGAGACTGCATTTTTTAAAAAAATTGTATTAATTATTATTTATAATTAAATGGTGAGAGCTGAGGAAGACTTTATAATTTTTATTTATAGACCTCATTAACCTCCATCATTTAAAAAAAAAGATCAATTTTTTCGAAGTAATGCAGGTATTTAAAAAAAATAAAATGGGAATTTTTGAGGAGTATCATGATATCCATGAAAATTATAATTTGAGAATATTAATTAATGATAGACCTCATTGACCTCTAACTTTGATAAAAATTTCAACCTTCTGGGAGAAACGTAGATATTTTAAAATATTAAAAATCCAAAATTTTTGAAGAAAAACATGATAAATACGAAAATAATAAAATGCAAATATTAACCGAAAATGGGGGATTGGGGGGGGGGATGTTATAGTATCTGCGAATAGACCTCATTGGTGTGTATCTTTCGTAAAATTTTCAATTTTCTTGGATTCATATGGGTTGAGAAATAACTTTAAAATCTCATTTTAAATGGAAAAATCGGCTTAAAAATCAATAATCAATTTTGAATGTTTTATATCTTATTTGTTTATAATTTTGAGAATTTGAAATTTATGCGGTAAATACTTTGGTCCTTCCTCTATAAAAAGATACTAAAATGATTCCCACAAGTTATTCCGTTTGTCGTCAGGAACGGTTTTTGCATAGGGTTGCAAATTTATATAGAATAATTAATTATTTTCAATTTTCAATATTATCACTTACCTGGACCAACATGTCCTTAAAGCAGGGCAAGCTTTCGCGCGTGGTGTCAGAAAACCTGTACACGTTAACGAAATCGTTGTCGGATAGAGTGTCTAGGATAACTTCTACAGTCGCTCTAGCTAGATTCGCTCTGTGTCCGGCCATAGAACCGGAACTATCCACTAGAATTATTAGGTCTTTCGGAGATGTAGCAGCGTTCACGTACCACGCAGAGGAACGGAAATCGTAGATATTTCTGTTATTTCGAATCTCTTGCATCGTAGACATGTCTTCCGGCGGCCATGCGATTCCTTTAAAGAGGTTTTAACATTCGTAAATGACAATTTTTTAAGTATATAATGTCTAAGGTGGTCGGTTAAATTAGAGAGAAGCTATTAGATTGAGTTATACCTTTTACTTGTAAAATGGCAAAAAAATGAGATACTTATCATGGACGCACTGTATATGCATACCTGGGTAACGTCTTAAAAAGCCAGTAGAGCTGCCGAAGAATTGCCAGGAAAGGGTGGGGTCGCCTTCGTAATTATTTATAAACAAGGGGTCTAAATGTTCGGACCACTGTATAGCATTTAGCACTTCTGGTTCTAAAATAGCATCACTCGAATAGGTCTCTTTTTGTTTTACATTTTTCTTACCATATTCGAAGACGTGGTTGGGCATAAGCACCGTGCTGAGGCTAATATTTACGGGCAAGTGGTCGAAGTGAGGATTGGGCGTTAAAATCATTTCTCGCGTTCCTTCTGCGGGTTTGCCATCCGGTCCGAAGACATTCAACTTTTTGGCGTTATAGTATCGAAATGGTTGGCCATTGTCGGTTCTTGGCGTTAAGGCCGCCTGTTCGGCTGAATCCAATATTCGCTAAAAAATTACAACATCCTTATTAGGTCTTACGGCCGATTTATCATTTGAAGTTTCGATGCGGACGAACGGTACGTAATTTATAGAACCGTCCAAAAGCGGGAACGGATCGTTTAAAAATTCAAATTCGCTTCGAACTTAAAGCGGAAAACTAAGTTGATTTAATTCGGGCGAAAACAAAACGCGACGGAAAGTTCTTAATTTAAAGCTCGGTTTATTCGATTTAGGGATGCTAAAAATAATCAAATAGAGCTTCGGACGAAACTTTGTAAATAGGAGAATGTCGAATACCTAAGAACTTCCGGATGCAAAATTTCAAAAGGTATTATTTCGCTTGCTCCCACATACGCGCGTTAGTCATTCAAAAAAAATCTAATGATCTGCAAAGCCGAACGGGGCATCTATTGAGGTCCAGTGGCGATGGTTGTGAGTTTTAAAGACAAAAGGATGGACGTGAATGACCAACCAAAATAAACCCCGATACGTATTTAGGAAGTACTACCCAACCGATGCGAAATAGATCAACCAAGGTATCTATTTGGGTACTTACCATAACGGCACTCATTTTAAAATCCATCATGTTTTTCACTTCCGTAGCCATTTCCCTAATCAGGATCAATCCGTCTTTCCGCACTACGTTTATGTTTACATCTTGATATTTCTGAAACAATTTTAGGATAACGAGATCTCAAACAGATTAAATTTTACGCTTCAATTGTGAGATGGAATCGAAGTAATAACATTTTTAATTAAACTCCTTTCCTGATTCGAAAGAATAGCGGAACGCATTCGATATCCAAATTTGTTAAATACCTGAAATTCCCGATTCCCGGGTTTATTACTCTTGGTGAAATTTATACTACGAAAATATGTGGTAGGTACGCGTTCCCTATAGCAAAAGTTTGTCGAATAACTTGAACCGCGCATTGTTTTTTTTTTTATTTGTGGCTCTCTGCTCCCACCTTCTTGTTGCGTTCGATATAATTTTGCTCGTTTCGGGCCGGATAGGGCTCACGTTTTGAAGCGGTTATAAAAATAAATCAGTACCGAAATTTCCCTCGTAATTGAAAGACTTATTTCAAGCGCCGCGTTACGCCCTGTAATTGCTATTACAGATGGAGCAAATGGCCGGGATTCATCAATTTAATATTGTCGAATGCAAGGGGCTCTTCGTAAATTTGCAGATATAGCTCGTTTGTTGCCGAATCTATCAAAAATTGTTCCCACGACAACGATCTTACGATTTGGAGATTTAAGAAGGAAAGGAATTGGGAAGTTTTTTGAAAAATAGTTTTACCTGAATCGTCGAATAATTTCTGCAATTTGAAAGTAGAAAAAATACTTTTACGATATTTGGTATTTATTTGACATTATAACATCTCAGGCAATTTACATTTATTGTTGTGTCAAACATGTAAATTTCATTTTAGATTTCATAGGTGTGAGTAATGTTATCGCTAACAAAAAGCCTAAACAAAATTGCGACAATTTCCTCCCCTACCTGGGCAAAACACAGTGCCTGAAACACCATTTACTGTATTTGCAAAAAAATAGAAAGTGACGTTTTCCGAGGAGAATATTTGTTGGTTGTTTGGCGGTGGGTTTTACTTTCCATTTTTTAAATTTCATTTTAATTGAAGAAATTTTGAAGAAATTATACCTACTCCTTAAGCTTTACTTTTTAGCTACGTTTTTTAACTAGCTTTGCCGCAATTGATAATAAGATATATTCGAGCTCTTTCGGGTGTTGTTTTCTTCTCGTAATCAAAATACTAAAATAGCACTTTTTTTTTATTGTTTAAATAAAACCTAAATGGTGTTGGAATTTACACTGAATCTGCATAATTTGAGGTGCCAGGTGCTTGCAAGGATCGATTCGAATAATACCATAAAGTGGTTCCTGTATGGTTTCGTGTGTAACTCGATAACCACGATTGATATTTAAACAGAAAATAATGAACGCGTCGTTGACGTAGAAAGAGCAGCATGTGATCGTCTTCTATGCTATCGAGACAAGCAGGCGCGAGAAAGCGGGTGCCCGTATATTGACGTTTTTTCATCGTGGCCATAAAGCGCATGTGTAATAATACCACGTGGACGCTTAAAAGTACTTTTCTGCCTCCTCCTTGCGAGGTATCGCAGCGATAAATAAATTTTCTTCGCCGGCTTATGGAGAGAAAAAAAAAACCCGGACGTCCACGGGCATCATGGTTGGACCGGGGTTGGACGGTTTGCGAAAGGGACAATTCATCTGAACATGTTTAATTAGGGATCTAGAGCCGGGACAACGAGGGAAAACGCTACCGAAACGTTTTACATCCGGACTAATTAAAACTGACCTTATTAGTTTGATATAATAACTTACTTTTTGGAGGTCGTCCATTTTCGTCGTAACTCGTCCGTACTGCCATAAGTCAACCCCGAATTGCAACGCCCAATTTCTAACTCTGCAAAAAGATGGTAGGATAGAGGAGGGGGCGCAGTATGAGTTTAAAACTGCAGGTGGTTTTTAATTTTAGGTGAAAACGGAAGACGTTCTGCGAATTGCATTTCAATTTTGGGACATAGATTCGACCGAAGCGTCGAAATTTTTTCAATGCATTGAGTTCAGCTTGCCGGCGAACTAATCTAATTCATTTCAACTATTACATCGTTTTCTGATTAAGTTCCATGATCCGGGTAAGGAGGATGTCGCCCTAGGGGTGGTGTATCGGGGACAGGCAGGCAGCAGCGCGTGCAATTTCTAATTCTAGTTCTAGCTTGTTTCGATTGGTAACGGAACTTTTTTTTTTGGAAATTCCGGTCCACCAAAAATACGCTTTGTTGCAGAAACTAGAAAATTAAGGGCTATCGATCGTAAGATCGCGTTTATTGTGATTGCGTGATGTGTGTGTTATGAATATATAATTTTGGACGGATCGATCTTATTAAAAACGGATTACCACCTAATGTGCACTTTGTTTTTAATTCAGCCGTCGCGACGCTATAGACGGTAACGACTTTTCCTATTGAAGTGACGATAATACAGGCTGTCCACCAATTTTCTATTGGAAAAATTGAAAATTAAATTAAATACGGAAAACTTAAGGAGGTGATTCCTTATTTAAAATAAAGGTTAGTTTGTGTTTGTGTTGGGTCAGAAGTCCAACCATTAGAAAAATATTCTTTTTATTTTTGTTTCTTAAAAACAAAGCAATAAAATTACAACAACATATTTTTTTTTTAAGGATGGTTATTTTAACGATGATTATTGAATTAAATGCGACGCTAAATAAGGCAAGAGTAAGAAATACATTAACAAATAACAACAGTCCACCAAATAAAAAATTATATTTTTAGTTAAGAGGAATGAAGGGGGTAGGATAATTGAATCCCCTCCACAAATTTTATTAAACTAAAAATATTTGCAGAAGGTGTGTTTTCATGATAGTAATGCTTCCGTAATATTTTATTGGTCCGTCTATTTTCGTTTATATCGCAAGCTGCCCTTTAGTTTTTCGTATTGGTTTTGAAACGCCCTTTATATGCGGGGTACGTGGGCAAAATATAGCAACTCCAGCTGTCGAATGTTTAACAAAAAGAAAGCTTTCCATAGATATCGTGAATAAGTTAAATATCGGAATTGGCTGTAACAAGAGGAGAAATTTAATCTGAATTGAACTATTCTTACTATAAAGAAACCCAGCGGACCAAGAATCTTATATTTTTAGTGGCTTAATCTGAAAAACCTGCTAAACGCGTCATTTTTAAACAAAAACATTTTTTTGGTTTGAAAACAAGGCTCTTCCGATTTTACGTTTCTATAAATTTATTTCTTTAATGACTCAAAGAATCGCCCCCTGAAATTTTTTAACTGCTTAAAAACATCTTGTATGCATATGTTTTCTTTTACAAGTTTATTGTTGATATATACTTATATAATATGGATATGGGATAAGCCTATTTGTACGTAGAGAAATTTTGAAACAGTTAGGTAAGATTGTTAAAGCTTAAATTTCTAAATAATAAGAGAAATTGACGGTTACGACAAGTTAGTCTTAAACGATACAGAGGATCCCAATTTCCTATTCGTCGCCTAATTTTCAATTTAACCTCACTTGAAAAATCGATAAATATTCATCGAAAATGCTTACATAACGTCTTCCGATAAAGTTTACTTCTAGGAGGTAGACGTGATCAATCTAGTGTGCCCGACCTTTGACAACAAAACCCGTAAAACTTACTCATTATGTGGAATCTCCTCGTCCTGTTCTAAATATACCGGTAAAATTTTGTGGGCCAATAAAAGTAGCAACAGACCCAATTTGCTGGCTCGCAAAATCACGTTATCGTTTCTACACATCATGTTCACTAGCACTTCTACTCACAGTCTTTTCTCTGTAGGTCAATCTTATTTAGAAAAAGAAAAATCGAATTTGCGACATGCCCATTTCGGCTTTAAGTTACAGTTTCCCTTGCAATTCGATTGGTTAATCCGGCGCTGTATCAGATTTCACATTCTAATTGATAATTGCAACGATGAAGGGTTAGATTCAGACCGGGTGGCTTTTTCTGCTGTAGTACACACCCCGAGTATGCCGAATCTATTTGGTGTTACGGGTAAAGGTGGGGGGGAATACGTAACTGTGCGCACACGCGTATCCCCAAAGTCGATATTGAAAACTATGACCCTTATACGGGGTGCGTACGTGTAGCTAATGCAACTAATAGTTCTCGGGATATTCGCGTCCTTCAGAAATCTAATATTCTTTTCTTGATTTGTCTGGAGGGAAAATCAGCCGAAAAATTCTCCCTCCTGACGGGGTTCTACGGGGTTCTTGGAAACCTGGAATGACAAGTAGAGGGACAGAGAAAGCTGTGGAGTTTTCTATTCCAATTATTTTATATGCATCCGTATACATTTCTCACATTAAGATTCTATTTTTAACTGTTTGTTTCACTTTATTTTTTAACTATTTATTTGATAGTGCAATTTTAGGGGTATTTGCCTAGAGAACCTCAAGTACCGAAAATTTCGAAAAAATCAGGGACACCGTAAAACCTCACCGATATTAAAGCAATATCACTTTTCTCCGTTCAATGATATTCCATCTATATAAAAAAGATGGCCGCAAAGTTTTTTCAATCTTTATAACAATCGATTTATTAATAATTGAAGATATACAGCTAACGATAAAAATTTGGTATTTACAACAACATAAAATAATGAAAGTTATTTTATATATGTAAATGTATTAATACAAAAATACTGCAGGGTGAATACGAACGCGGGGACGCGTTCAAAACCTAAAACAAATGACTGCGTTAAGTCGTCGTGCGTTTAAAACAGCTGGGGATTTACACCAACCTTGTTATCGGGGCGAGTTTGTTGTGGTAAGTTTTTGGCGAATTATTCTGCGATTCCTCGGAATAGGTACTCCCGATAGATTTTACCCCGTAAGCGAAGTCCTTCCTATAGTTTCCTTTGCCCAGGTTCGACCCTGTAATTAACGATATCCAAATTTCCCCGCGCATCCGCCAAAGTGTACTAGTTGGTTTTCACACTTATTTACTTTTTTACTTTCGCCCTTAATTTATCGAAAGAATTTTCATTATTTATTTCTATTTTATTAGAAAAGCCTGCCTTATTTCTTAGTATTAAATACTGAGGATGAATATGAAGATCACAAAAAAATAAAAAGTTTAAAAGCATTTTTTTTTCTTGACGGTTTCACATTTGTTTTGAATAAATTGATAAATTGATCTTCACTTTTTCTGATTAATAAATACATTCGTTAGCACTCACCTTTTGCTTTAGGCATGTTGCACGTCACTTTCGGATGTACGGTAGTCTGCTTGGTATATCTATTCTCGTTCGTATATTTCATATTTCCTCTGTATTCTTTATAATCCCTTTGCACTTGTCTGTATTCCGACAGTTCCTGAGTAATCAGCGGCAGAACTTTGATTTCGTTTTTGTCAGTTTTCGAAAGTAGTTCCTGAGAGTTTAAAATAGCCGGCGTGGGCGAAGACGATGTCGATGACAACGCACCGTCCGGTTCTGGCCGTTCCCTCGACTTTGACTCTAAACTTAACGGCAAACTGGACATTTGGTGGTTGTCTTCCATGTAAAACAGTCTCAATTGTTGCCTTATGGATGCCTTTTCCCTATAAGAAAACGAATGTCGTACAAAACAATGTCGGGTTTGTTACTTACTTGGCTCGTTTCTTCTGGAATTCCTCCTCCACCCGTTGCATAGCTTCCAATTCCCTGAGGCGTTGTTTCTCTTTCCGTTCCGCTTCTTTGGAGAGCTTCTCCGCCATTCGCCTCCTTTCGATTTGCCTGACCGTACTTTGAAACGTAAACTTTTTCGGTTTCTTAATCGGCGGTTTCCATTCGCAGTCATAAGTCTTCGGAGGAGGGTCTTGCAGAGGTTCAGGTACCATTGATTGCGTCAAGTCTTCGCAAGATTTCGAATACGCCGACAGTTTGTACAGTTCCGGCGACTTCCTACCCATTTCCGGTAAGTACATTACGCGCGAAGTAGACGATTTGTGCCCGGCTGTGGTCGATGTAAAATTCGACTGTTCGTTCTCGTTGTGACGAATTTCCAACGAATTTGGCGCGGATTTGCTGAAAAACCAATTGTTGCCTTCCTCGGGGTTGGCGTTCGATTGGGTCAAGTCTTTTTTGTGACTTAAATTGTTCAAAACACCCGACACGGAGCGTTTGATTTTTTGCAAGCCGGTGTATTGGTGGTAAGACGTTTTATCGGCCATGTAGACCGCCAGTTGGTTATCTCTGGGCAACGACAGGCTAAATACGTGAGGTCTATTTAGCTGAAGACGTCTACTTTTTAACGGCGTTTCCAAATTTAGTTCCTCCAAGCTCGAATCTTCTTCGAGGTCTTGTTGCGGCGTCCAAGACGGGCTTATTTTCCGTTCGAAAAACGACGGGCCCTTTTTGGTCGAGTCCAACGTTTCGTCGCAACCGACCGGTCCGGCGTCACCGGATATTCCGGAATCGCCGGACTTGTCGTTGGATCGCGGACCGAGCTGGATATCGGGCGGGGGCGGACGAGAATATTTCTCGATCGTTTCTTCGATCATGACGGGGACGTCGTCGCTCGCCAACGTCCCGTTGTTGTCGTCGTTGAGTTCCACCGACGAAAGCAGCTTCCACGCGGCCGCCGGTGAAAATCTCGGAATTTCCAATTGTTTTTTCGGCAGAATCGGCCGCAATCGAAGGTCAATCCCGGTGCCGGTCTCGTCGTTAACGTCGTCGCCTTCGATATCGGTCGATATATCGGATTCCGACGATTGCGGAACGACGGTGTCGATTCTATAGTTGGTCACGTTCGTTTCGTCCATTCCGAAATAAAAGGATTTCGGTTTGCCGCCCAAACGATCTTTCATTTTCATATTCGGTGACGGTTCGGGCGTAGACGATTCCTTCCCCGACGGCTCCCCTCGCGGCGAACCCAAAGAGCTCGCCGTTACGTTGTTATTGTTCTCTTCGATTTCTACGATTTGTTTGAATTTGTTTTTTAAATATTCGTTTTTGGGGTCGAGGGTTTTGAGCTTTTCCTTTCCGTCCGCCGTCGTTCTGTCGCGGTCGGTGGTCGACGCTTCGAGTTTCGCATTTCTGAACCGCTCGGTGGCTTCTTTGAGCTCTTTCTGAAACTCTGCGCATTCGACGAATTTCATTTCCGGAAGCGACAGCCGGTTCGTTCCGCAAGCAAATTCCGCGGTACCCACTCGGACCGCGTCCTCGTACTTATCTACTTGTTCGAGTTTATTTACATGACTAGTTTCTTTTTTCGTTTCTGCGCGGGTCTTGAAGAGACGAGCCCTTCGAATCGGAAATTCATCGCTGGAATTTTCGTCCCATTCGCGGGACTGCTGCTCGAACTGGAAATACGAAAGGGCTTATGGATCGATCCATTTCCAAGATATTTCGCACTCTAAACATCCTCCACAACAATTTTAATATTTTCAAAAATAGACGTTTTCACTTATGTAACTTTCCCTAAACGTTCCTAAAACTCATTTTTTTTTGTTTTTTTGAACCGTAACGTATTTTACAACATGTATACTAACTTTTGAACGAAAGGCGATTTCAAGTTCTGGAGGAATTTTCTATTTTTTGTGAGGATATAAGCGACATTTATGTCCAACTAACCCAATGTCAAAAATTGGATATAAGCCCAACATTTTTAAATAAGTGGGAGTGGAACATGTAATGCCCCTTCGAAAAGTATTTTTAATTTTTATTTTAAATTAAAATTTTATACTCATTTGTAGTAAATTGGTTAAGGCTTTCGATAAATTGGTTAAGGCTTTCGCGGCCCGTTGATAAGCTATTATCTTCATTCGGATTTAAAGGCCGTCGTCGATTGGAACTACTTCCTAACGTTTCGCTAGCACGAGTGGCGAGCTTCTTCAGAGGTCCTTCCATCTCCGATGTCAGTCTACGTCCAACATCGGAGATGGAAGGACCTCTGAAGAAGCTCGCCACTCGTGCTAGCGAAACGTTAGGAAGTAGTTCCAATCGACGACGGCCTTTAAACCCGAATGAAGATAATAACTCATTTGTAGGTTTTCAACCAGGTTTACTAATGAAAATTCGAACGAACACAAAGGTTATTCAAGTAATTCCTGCGATTTCGATTCAATAACTTTAACCACTTGGTCTTCATTGTCACCATAGCGACTTAAACGGTGTTAATTAAAACTAGACTTGAAATTTCCGAAAATCGATTTTATTATTATCTATTTACGTCCAACTAACCCAATGTCAAAAATTGGATATAAGCCCAACATTTTTAAATAAGTGGGAGTGGAACATGTAATGCCCCTTCGAAAAGTATTTTTAATTTTTATTTTAAATTAAAATTTTATACTCATTTGTAGGTTTTCAACCAGGTTTACTAATGAAAATTCGAACGAACACAAAGGTTATTCAAGTAATTCCTGCGATTTCGATTCAATAACTTTAACCACTTGGTCTTCATTGTCACCATAGCGACTTAAACGATGTTAAAACTAGACTTGAAATTGCCGAAAATCGATTTTATTATTATCTCTGGATACCGTTTCATAAATTATCAATGCTTTAATTCCAAAAGTAATTTGTTATCCACTAGATCGTAGATGTATAGAAGTGATGTTTATTTCGTTGGAATAAAAAATTCGAAAAAAATTATTGATTCCCGTATTCTTACCGCTCGTGATATCGGGGGAGGTGGTGCTTTGTACTTTTTTTTTGTCTTGCGCTCTTTCATTTCTTGTTCGGGGGGGACCACTTGGGTGGAAAACCTAAGATCGGGCTCCGAACCAAACAATTTCATTTGGCTTTTGAGCGCTTTTTGACTAGCTGCATTTTGTTTGCTTTGTATGTAATGGTTAGACCTATATCCGGTTTTGTGAAACGAGTATCTTTGGGCGGGCAAATAGGATCTGCCATTGAGAAGGTCTACGTGCGACTGGGATTCGATCTGGAACAAGAATATTTCGAGTTTCGGTTTGTTTCTTGGGTTCGTTCTAGCTTACAGTCGGTGGTAGTTGATGCCTTCCGCTCAAAGTACCCCCAGATTGGAGGATTTCACCGTTATCCGTATGCCTGAGCTTTTGGAATACATCACGTTCGGGCAAAACCTTATGTTGTAATCTTGTGTGCTGAGATTTCGGAAAAGAATGAGTCCATTGCTCTTCTGTAGTTAATCGAGTGCTAATCTGTCCTGTGTGACTCCCTATGTTTCCCATTACTAGTTCCACCTCCGTATAGTTCTAGAGACATATTCTGAAACGAAAAATTTAACTGACTATCGTTGTTAAATCTGACGCGGTGAAAGTATTTGTTTAGAACGGCTTGTCGTTCAGCGAACATTTCTCTGTGGAACTTCAGCATTTCAATGGCCGTGGGAAACCTCTCTTTATCGACTATTATTTAACAAAAGCAATTTTCTAAATTGGTCGATACAAATACTACTTCGGACACCTTTAGTTGCAAATTAATGCGACCGCCTATAAAAATGTTAAATATAAATTGGGAACAAAAATAACGTATGTTGATTAAGCAAGCGTTTAAATTTAAACGTGTGCAAATTCCTATCTACCCGATTTGTAATTCAAAAGCGAAACTTAACTGTTCATTTTTTATTTTTCGGTTCGGTTCTTTTTAATTGTTTTTTTTTCTTATTATTTGAAACTAAAAGTTTTCCTTCAATAAAACTTATCCTATTTTTGCTTCGCGAGAAATATGAACATCCACATTATTGTAAAGTTGACGTACAAAATCGATTTCGATGGCTGCAAAAGGTTGTTGACTCTCTTATTACGGTAGACGGTTTCGACTCATACCGAATAGAAGTAGGTACCTAATCTCGAAGTTTACCATTACTTCCTTCACATGAAGACAGTAATAATTGTTACTTTTGTAATTGCGTAAAGACTCGTATCTATTTATCTCATACAATGAACATAATAATAATTGTTAATCACGTTCGAAACATAAAAATACGTAAATGGAATGTCGATTTCTCTGTTCTCATCCCGTTCATTTCTTACACATAGTTACACTTGTTAGTTTTTATATACGGTATAGCTATAGCTTTGACATTAATTTGTCGTTAATGGATTTTCAGTCATTCTTTGTCTATGCCTCATTGGTGTGCGAAAAATTTTCCTTTGGAAAGGATATGATCGAAGCCAACGTTCAGAAAAATATTATCACAGTTTTGTTCGGCATTACTGTATAGAAAGTGTTTAGAAAAAAAGACCACAGCAACATTGTGTATCTAGTGATTCAAGCAACATCATAAAGAACTTCCCAAGACTCTCCGTCTTTTCCAAATTCTTCACCAAAAAACGGAAATTTTGCGCTACCTTCCATTCACATAGTGTATAAAGACACCACTGACGCACAGACCAAAGACCACCGACTAAAAATCCGATATCCACAAGGAAGTATCGAAGTTATAGCACCGCAACAGGTCGTATTTGCTGAATATTCTCTTAAATGTGAAATGTTAAAAGCGTTTAAATATTTTGGAGAGATTTAAAATCATCGATAGGTAATTATTTGCCGGCAATAATACAAAGCGAACTTTCACATTAGGTGTGGTTCGAACGCTTTCGGGATGAAGAATGAAAGTAACCGTCCGTCCAAAAACGTAAATCTTCTTTTTTTGTCATGCCCATCTCCAGTGATATCGAACTCACCTGCAAAATCTCGCCCGCGGCGTATCGTTTTCACTTTTTTTTATGTCTCGACGAATACCGTTATAGCATCCTTACGTAAATTAGGGTTAAACGAAATGCATATTTTCAACATCAGTTAATAATTGAACAGCACCATCAACAGCAAAGTGTGACAAAATTAATTTTCTACAAAAGATTTGCATTTAACACGCTGAAGATGTTTTATATTCCATCGACGAACGTTTCTCATTCGTTTTACAAAAGACGTTTTGTACGAGTTTCTAATAAAATGGGTCGTTTGATGATCAAGCTCATTGATCAAATTTGAAAGTAACGTTGTACGACCAAAGTAGTTTTTGCGCCCCCGTACATAAATAAATCAAAAATCTTGCCTCACATTTTAATGCGAATAGTAAATATTTGTCGGGATCTTTTAATAGCATGCCAAATATTTAAAGGGAAATTTAAAGGCTGATTTACAAAGTTTCAAATTAATAAAGCAAATAAAAATTCATATAGTTTCTATTTACAGTTTCCCGTGGCTATCGGATAATGTTAAACATTGTCAATCGTAAAATAAGGTCCGTTCCAATAGTAGAAGAAATGAGAGAGAACTACTGTTTTATGGGACAATTCGTTCGTCTGAACACCGCGAATACGAGACCTGTATAAAACTCACCAGTAACTCGAAACGGGTTTAATTGTTTCAAAAATAATTTCCGAGCTACTCGGATCGTTATACGCAATGTTTGCGGCCCTAAGCACAATTAAATTTGCCAATTGCAACGATCGGCAAGTTCGCAAAGTGACGCAACAATTTCTGGCTAATTTATGCATTTCTTATTAATTATCGCTGCTATTCGGAATGCATAATTGCGAAATCGGAAGTTGGTTACATAATTTTTTTCTGTTATTAACGTGAGACGTGAACTGTGTGAACTGGATGCTATCTTCGGTCGTTAAACAAGCGAAAGGGACAGGCTGGTAATTTAAATGACATGAGTTTATTAACAAAAAAGAAGTAATAGCATCTTCCTATAGACTAGATCGAAAGTATTATTTTCCAAAACGTATCTTCTAAAAAAAAACTTTTAGTTTCCGTGAATTTAAAAATAATACGTTGCTACAGAAAATATTTGTCTTCTTCCTATAAACAAAGCAAATAAACAAGCGGCTTATCAACTTAAAACAGGATACGCCTCACTCAATTTGCTCGAGTTCAGCAGTACCTTTTATCTTTAAAATATCTCAGAAAATATAAATTGCAAAATTTGATTAATTATAAAAGAAAAATTTTTTAAAACTTTTCGAACCCTACTTAGAAGACTTACAATAAAAAAGTTTCTTGAACCTTATACAAAAACAATTTTAATTTTTTTTTCACTTAATTTTGGTGACCTAGCGAGTACTTATTATTTTTCCGCATTGTGCAAAATAACTTCAAAACCTTGGATTATTATTTCAATCTATTTCGGTCCATTTTCCTCATTTATGGTCTGTTCATAGATATAAGAAAGTGACCAATTGCTTTTGAATGGGATTATCCAAGGGTGGTCATTAACATACAATGCAACAAGATTATTATTTATTATTTTCTATTACGGACCACAATTTTACCTGAATTTAAATTATATAATACTAATATATAATAATCCCATTCAAAAGCAATTGGTCACTTATATCTATGAACAGACCATACCTACGTATTGGGTTGTTCGAAAAGTCATTTCGTTTTTTTTGGGGAACATGAAAGACAGTTTTCGTATAATGAATAAATATTTTATTAAATTATATAATGGCCATTCTGGTCCAACACCTTTTGCCATCTTTCTGGCAGTAACATAATTCCCCTCTCATAAAAGTTTTGGTCCTTGCTGGCAAAAAACTGGTTCAGGTGGTTTTTGACATCTTCGTTTGAGGTAAAGGTTTTGCCATTCAAAAAATTTTGCAGGGACCGGAACAAATAGTAATCGGAAGGCGCCAGATCTGGAGAATATGGTGGATGTTGCAGTACGTCCCATTCAAGCTGTAAAAGTTTTTGGCGAGTGACCAAACTTGTGTGAGGTCTCGCATTATCCTGGTGGAACACTAAACCCTTCCTGTTGATTAATGCGGGCTCTTCTCTTTAAGTGAATCATTCAATTTGTCCAGTTGATGACAATAGACTTCTGAATTAATCGTTGTATTGTCCGGCGAAAGCTCAAAAAAAAACGATTCCTTTGACATCCCACCAAACGGAGAGCATTACCTTTTTTTGGTGAATGTTGGCTTTTGACACGCTTTGAGCCGGTTCATCTTTTCCGCTCCATGACCTCTTGCGTTTAACATTGTTGTATACAACCCATTTTTCGTCCCCAGTAATAATCCGCTTCAAAAATGGATCATTTTCTTGACGTTTGAGGAGCGAAACAGTCGAATTCGACAAATTTAATCTCTCACCGATCTCTCGTGTGGTTATTCATCGATTTGCATCAACTAATGCCTTTATCGCTTCTTTGTCAGCTTCGACCGGCCTTCCAGACCGTGGTGCATCTTCGACATCAAAATTGCCGGATCGAAATTTTGCAAACCAGTTCTGGCACTGGCGTACTGTTAACACGCCTTCTCCATACACATCCGTCAATTTTTTTCTCGCTTGAACAGCATTTTTACCTTTTCTGAAGTAAAAAAGTAAAATATGACGAAAATGCTGCTTATTGCTCTCCATATTTAAAAGGGCACCAACCAAAAACTACTGCGTAGAATTAATAGAACTTTTTCACACACAAGCCTTGCAATATCAGCTCTCAAGACATGTAATGGTTATGCGGCTTAAGTGTGAAGTTGGTTTCGAAAAAACGTAATTAAGTCCTCTGACGGGAAAAAACGAAATGACTTTCCGAACAACCTTATACTTCGCTGTGTAATCCTAAATTGTCCCATTTATTTCAATAAAAACTATCCATTCTAGATGTTTTCCGAGCCTTTTAGTCATGCACATTTTGCTGTATTTTTTATTTAATTATTGATGAATTAGCTTTTTAATCCAATATCCAATTAGTAGAGAGATACCGTTTATAATTATTGATTTTAAAACCTTGTCTTTGATTTACCGAGTAATTGGAATTTACAGGTTGTGAAATACAAATTCGCCAAGGATGTCGACCAACAAAGTGGATTAAAAAGATGCAATTAATGTGTATTTGAATTTACATTTTATAACTCGCTTAACGACCTAGTGCAAAATCGAAATTTATTAACCTTTTTACGTTTGATGCTCGATCGATTCATTTTTTTGGTGACTACTAAATATTAACAGGGGTATTTGTTCGTTACACGAGAAATGGAACACCCGAGGTATGGATAATGGATAATAATCGAAAGCCTTAATTATTGCTTTTCGATCACAGAAATGTAGGTTGTTTTCACGCTCGTTTGACATGTGGCTGATATACGGTGAGCGATTCAGATATATATAAAATCATTATTGTGAAAATAATCTGCTGTACATGTTGTTAAAGAAACAATGTTACAATTTTTCGTAATGTGCGAGCATATGTCGAGGTGCATACATTTCACATGTCAGTAATGGAAAGAGTTTCGCTCTGAAAGCCCATAAATTTCAAAACAAAGTCCATTGTTTTGTCTTGAACCGAATACAGGCTGAGGGATACTAGCTGTACGAATGAATGTAGATAAAGAGCTCGCCAGGACGAAACGATGCATCTAAAGATGTTGCATAATTTTCGAGTAGATTTTAATCTGTAGTCCTAATCGGGATGTTTTGCTTTCGAGAATCGAAAATAAATTATCTTCGATCGATTTGATATGCGGTGCGATTCTGATTATCCAGTTAACCAAAGAGCGGAGAAAATAAACCGATTAATTAATTTCGGGCAGTTACTTATAATCAGTACGATTTTATATACAAGCAGTAAAGCAAAATGGAATCAGATTTATGTATGTACAACCTTCAAAAAATTTAAGGCACCGGTGATTGAACACAAACAAAACTGTTATATATGTATATATTTTTTGATTCGTTCTGCCGTGGTACAATTTTACCAGTATCCTACGCTTTGCCTAGATGGGTACCAGTTTAAAGCCGTTGATTCGAAAAGTAGAAACGTCTTGTCGAGTAGATTGCAAAGACGTGAGATAATTTTTCTATAACGATCTTAAAAATTCGGGTTGGGTTATAGTTAAAGGGTACGGCATCAACAATACGCGATAATCGTCGCACGGTTCTTGGTGTAAAAACGTAGTTAACGTTGCAAATCGAAAACAAAGTGCATTGTTCGCGTTAAAAAAATATTAGGAATAAATGTTGCGGAAAAAGTCTTACATGTATCGGATCACATAAAATCTTGTTTCCCCACTGACGGCAAAGCTCTTATCAACCGTTATTTGTCTAAAGCAAGAGCGGCTTTTGTGACCTCTGTGACGGGTTCTACACTGTCTTCACATAATACCACCGAAGAGCCAGGCAGGTACCACCGAACGCGATCGTCTCTGATGTTACGTACGACTTTCACTATGCAGTTCGCTTTGGTACTGCCCGAGTCTACAGTTAAAAAGTACGGAGAGCTAGCGGTATTCAACCGACTCTAGGGGGGATTAAAAGTAGTACCAGCGTGTATATTTTCATAAATACGTGGAATGCGGATTCGAATACGCGCGAATTATTCAATTGTTTTTCGTATTTTTGTTCCTTCATTTGTATGTAACTCGCACACTTCCATCGCACGTTTATGTTATTTGTTTTGCGACTGCTTGATTATTGGATTGTAATTCAATGCTTTGTAATTTTTATCGATACGTAGTAGAAAGTTTTTACTTTGTTCAAATCGGTGCGATTTAATTTAATCTTCTGTTTGGAAAATCGCGTTCATCTTATTTGCTATCGCGCTCACATTACTCAAGTCCGTAAATGGTTAGCGATTATTGCATCATTTAAACCTTCGATTTTCGCCACACAGCATCAATGTACGTAGATATCTTCCAAGGTCTACCAGATTATTGCGGCCAAGTATTTAATAAGCTCCATTTCCATTTTAAGAATTAAATATCAGCCCAATGAAATCAAATAGCGATTTTTTTTATATTTTTCTGCTGGTGCTAATAAAATTTTCTACAATTTTTGGCGATAAAGGAAGCAATTATTAAAATCCCGCTTCGTTTTCATCCAAAATTAAAGAAATCTGAAAATTGCAATGTGGTCTGCGCTACCCTCGTGGTTCGTCTTTCGCTCGATAGGTGGCGGGGCGTTTACTTTACCTTGGAGCTCAAAATACAACAACCTTAAAGGTTGGTAAAAGTGTAAAAATGACAGTGGGCTAGTGATTTTCATAATGAATATTGGCAGTCATGTGCGCCAAAAACTGTACGAAGCAAGACAAGGATATTTGTGTTGTTATCGACGAAATTTAGAATAAAAAAAAATAAAAATCACAAACCACCAGGCTTCGATAGAAATTTCCAATATATTGGTGAAAGACGGGAATATTTAATTAAGACCGAGAAGGACTCGGAACAGTGTTCTAGAACCGTTTCTTGCTAGTTACATAAAATTCTGTCAGTGTCCTCGTTTTGTTTGGTTTTGTTTATAAGAAGAACGTCCCCAATTTCAAATGATTTTGATATTGCGGTTTTCTAGAAGTTCACGTAAGGTAACTGTGGAAACTATTGTTAACAATTTATTGGAAAGTGACAGTTTTCTGCGTCAATGTTTTTGTCTGTGATATTTTTGTCATTCATTTCAATATGGCCGAATGAGCGGACGCATGAAATTGTGCAATTTTGTATTGTTAAATATTCCTTACAAATTGTCTCTTCCTCAGCTAACTACGTTAGACTAGATGTTTTGAAATATATCTGGTACGTAGTTAGGTTCGGCAAAAAAACGTTTGTTAATGAAACGGTGACTAGGCAAAATATTGCACCAGTGCAGTCTGTATTCGTCCCTTCACGTGTGTTCTATTAATGTGTTAAAAAAAAGAGACAAAGACACTTCGATAATAAATGATGCGGTATTATTGAGGTCAATTTTGTTTTTAGTGATTAAAATGCGTAAATAATCTACCAAAATGAAGATAGACCGATCAAGAGTACGTAAGAGCACCTCTGAGGTTCCTACAGAGTGCCAGCAGCTCATCGATAAACTCCAGCAATGCTCTCGGACGGAACTCCTGGATGAATTATCCAAAATCAACTCGTGGACTTTTGGCAAGTGCGAATTATTGCACTGGGCTCAAGTCCTGGATGTGTTTGATAGGATTCTCGGAATGGCTGCAGAAAAGAGTGAGGATAACCAATGGGCTTTGAAATGCGATAGTACGACAGATGAAAAGGTAAGATTGCTAAGATTGATTTATTTGCTGTGGGTTATATGTTCATGTTCAGTGGAACTTTTGGCTTGGTTCCTACTTTATTATTGCATAGTTATTTTGAAAATTCAAAATTCATAATAAGTTAAATTCCATTGTGTTTATTTTATTGTTTTGGCAATGTTTCAAAAAATTGCACCAAATTGAAGGGGTCATCCATAAATTACATCATTGGGGAGCATGGAGGTGCAGGTCATCAACAATGTGCCACATTGTGTGGCAAGTTTGGTGTGTCTGTGGTGACAAGAAATTTAAATTCAGTGTAATACAGAATTTCTAAATGATTTTTTAACATTCTTTAATAGATTGTAGTTTTCGATACTCACATTGTTATGCATTTTTTATTTTAGGATAAATTATTGCTGGTTTTCATTTTGAGATTCACAAGTTTACTAATAGAACACTCATTTTCTCGTCACTTATACAACTCGATGGAGCATCTTTTGGTCCTCTTAACGTCCAACGACATGAACGTTGTGCTAGAGGTTCTGAATTTACTTTACATGTTCTCAAAGCGCAGCAATTTTATTACTAGGCTTAAGACTGATGAAAAAGAATGTCTTCTCTCGCGATTGCAACATTTGGCTGAGGTAAGTTGTGGTTTACAATTTTCGTTTCTTAAAATTTATGTGGTTCCCGCTTATTATTAAGAATTGGGGTGGCAAGGAAAATGGATTTGGATTAGCGGAATGTTGTGAACCTAATAGGGACATACCCGCCTCTGCTACAACTTTACATGTTGAATTTCACAAAGAGGATGACGTCAAGTCTCCCAACAAAGAAGCTCCAGATCTGAAACAATCCAAACCAAACCTGCATATTATCCATATTGAACACATTGACAAACTAAACAAAACACCTGCCGAAATCATGAAGTCACTTGTTAGTATGTATTATGTGCCTCCCGAGAAAGAAGTAAGTTGCGACAATTTTTTTGATTTTTATTTAAGTTTCTGGTTTATAGATGTGGCTTTTTACTCATGTTCGATTGGCCACACATTTTGCTAATTATGAGAAAAGGCTGAAGTGTGTCCAAGCCAGGCTTCAAGCTCTTTCTGTTCTTGTATACTCAAATGCTATTCAAGACTCGCCCTCAAATCTTTTATATAACGGTATATTAGAAGAATTGGTGGAAGTGGTGGAGCTACAAGATATCCAATTAACAGATATTCGTTGTGCAGCCCTAAGAACCTTGACGGCAATTATTCACTTGGACAGAAATCCGCAGTTCCCAAAGTAAGTTGAAGGAATGTTGGACTTTGTTTCTGTGAATTTTGATTTTTAACACTCATTGCAGCCGAAGGTCGGTGTCTAGGTTAAATAGCATAATAGATGTTACGGGTGCTAGTCAGTACCATGGATTTTTACCGGTGTTAGTGAGGAATTGTATTTCATCACTAACAAGTCAAGCGGATTATGGGCAACAAGCCTTTAAGAAGATGAAACTTCATGATGAAAGTTTTCCCACTTTCGAGGAGTCTAGCAACGATTCTGTGATGACTAATGAATCAAGTTCACTTCTGGAAACCGACAGCAATAGCTCACAGTCGACAGTTTTTAATATGGAATTTGATGTTGAAAAAAAGGTCGCTCAGCCTCAGCCGCAGCCCGTGTTGGTTGAGTCAAGATTTCCTGTCAGTTTGACCACGGCTTTGTTTTCATTCCTTTATCATTTGGCCAGCTATGATTCCGGTGGAGAAGCTCTGGTTTCTTGCGGAATGATGGAATCCCTGTTGCAAGTTATTAATTGGCAAGGCTATGAATTGGATCATATAACGGTAAGTAGTCATTTTATTTAGGTTTGATTTGTTTTTTTTTGGAACTCAGATGTTCAAATTCAAATAAAATAAAATAAAAAAACGAGTATTTAGCAATTAAAATGGTCCTTGATAATAGCCAAAGTGCTTGTTATATTTGCTCATATCAATTTAACATTCGTTCTTGTTTTACACTTAAATGGTTTTGTGTAGGATGTCAATGCATCATAAGTATCCTAAACATGTGATAAACAAGGTGGTTAAGTTAAAAAACAGCTGTTCGGGGAACTTAATATGGATGGTCTGGTTCTTTGTTTAATCCATATATCTTTTTTGTGGGGCTATAGACTAAAATAACAATATATTTCAAGCAGTTTGTTGCTTTCTTCAATTATTTATGTAACATTGTATTTTTATAATAATATAATTTAATTAATTCAAGCAAAACACTAGATCCCTTTGTGCTTTTTTAGTTTGTGACAAGGGCCGTCCGCGTTATCGACCTCATCACAAACATCGATATGCAAGCATTCCAAGTTCACGGAGGCCTTCAAAGTTTTATTAGTCGCTTGGATGTAAGCTGTTTCGTTTCTTTTTCTTTTTTCGTTAGTCTGTTTTTAAATTATCTTTTCTAGGTGGAAGTAAACTTTTGTAAGAAAGACCAACTTTACCAAATTAAATCTGTCACATCGGATCATCATATAGATGAAACTAGTCCGGGAACGTCCACAGAGGAGATGTCGACAGTGGAGTTGGAATACGCTCCTGACAATGTCGGAAAAACGTGTCTGCCTCAGCGCGCAGCCTTGTTAAAATCGATGCTTAATTTCCTCAAAAAAGCATTCCAAGACTCGACATTTGCCGAAAGTATAAGGCATTTAATGGAAGGAACCTTGCCTTCATCTTTGAAAAACATAATAGCCAATGCTGAGTATTACGGTCCCTCCCTATTTTTGCTCGCCACAGATGTGGTCACCGTTTACGTGTATCAAGAACCGGCCTTGCTCTCTGCTCTTCAGGATAATGGACTTACTAACGTAGTTCTCCACTCCTTGCTGGTTAAAGAAGTTCCCGCAACTAGGGAAGTGCTCGGTTCGTTGCCCAATGTTTTCAGCGCATTATGTTTAAATAATAGAGGTAATAATCTAATAACATCTAAAGTAAAAAAAAATAAAAAATAATATTTACTTAATTTCTTTGCAGGACTCGAGTCTTTTGCAAAGCATAATCCATTTGAAAAGCTCTTCCATATTTTACTATCGCCCACGTACTTACCGGCGATGAGAAGACGTAGGAGTTCTGAACCTACCGCGGACACAGCCTGTAACTTGGGCAACGCAATGGACGAATTAATGCGTCATCAGCCAAGTCTCAGGGAGGATGCCACTTTGGCAATTATAAATCTATTGGAGGAATTGGTGCATATGGGAACAGATCCAAAGTATATTTGCTGGCGGCCCCACAGTAAGACGGAAGTGTCGCCGTCGAATAGTTCAAGGGCACAGAGTACGGCCGAAGGTTCGTCTGATGAAGAGGACGATGATGAAGAGGAGACATCCACTTCCTCACAAAACGCTCAGAACGAGACCAATCAAACAGAAGGCAACAGTGAGAGACAGCCGATCGCCTTGATAGATTACATCTTAAACGCAATGAAGTTTATTGACGCCATTCTTAGCAACAATTCAACCGACGACCATTGCAGAGAATTCGTCGTGAAAGGTGGATTGAAGCCGCTTATGAGTATTTTGGGTCTACCAAATTTGCCAGTTGATTGTCCTGTTACAAACCCGGCCCAAGCGGTAGCCACAGTTTGTAAGAGTATACTGAATCTGGCCCATGAACCATTCTTGTTCCATGAAGGATTGTACCAACTCAAAAAAGTTTTGGAGAACCTTAAGCCGCTATATACAAGGCAAGATGTCCCTGGTGGTTCAAAGCTTTTGCTGGAACTCGCGAACGCCCCTGATATAGAGACGGCCTTTAGTACGGCTTCAGCGACACCAATCTTACACGCTATGGGGGCAGCCCATGGATATGTGATCATGTTCGTTCACATATGCAGGACGGGTCAGACGGAAATCAGAAGTTTATCTCTTCAGAGTTGGGGGACAGATGAGGGCATCAAAGTGCTGAAAGGGTTGGCTGATCTCTATACCTCTCTGGTATGGGAGAGCACCCTTTTGTTGGCGTATTGCAGTGAGGATCTCATACCATCCCAATGCGACTTTACTAAGGAAGATATCGAGAAATTGAACCAATTTTTTGATAAGGTAAATTGTAAGTAAGCATTTTCTATATTTCTATTCAAAACTTATTTTGCAGTGCGAAACCACTCAGGCCACAGAAAGCGCCAGCACCCATATGGCGCCCTCTATGGATGTGCTCTCCGCTAGCCACCCAGTAATACCAATGGACGTAGATGTGTCAGAATCTACGGTAACTAAACCTGACAATAGAAATCTTAAATATATCAAGCCGTTGTTGGGTGCTTCGTCAAGATTGGGTCGAGCGTTAGCGGAATTGTTTGGTTTATTAGTAAAATTGTGCGTCGGTTCACCAATCAGGCAAAGGAGAGGTCAAAACATCGTTGCCGCACCTCCTATGCCTTCCATTCACGCAAAAAAAGTCGCCCGAGCGTTAAATATATTATTAGCTAAAGGATTGGATTGTGATAGCCTTCCCCCATGTCCCACCCCTAAATGTCGCTTGACGTTTTTGATATGTAGCGTCGGGTTTACTAGTCCCATGTTGTTTGACGAACGTCGTTATCCTTATTATCTGATGTTGAAAAAATTTGTGGGTATGGGTGGACAGGCGATATTTTTCAAGACATTCAGGTGGGCACTAAACGGGGATGAAGTTACCGATGTCGCTAGTTTGCCGGAAGGCACTCTAGGGTTTTTAGACGCATGGCTCACCCTTTTGGAAAAAATGGTCAATCCAAAGGCCATTCTGGAGAGTCCTCATGTCATATCAAGTCGTCCCTTAAACAATTATCACTTCGGTCCGTTAAAATATTTAATCCAAATCCATCGTCTTGCATTTGACAGTATTTTAAGGCTGTGGGAAAACACGCCTATCACGGCTTATGGAGTACGGATCACAGAAACGGTTCTAACTATACTTAGACATATTTATTGGGGTGAGAAGATAATAAAAGAGAAGCTTAAACATGAAGAATCCAAAACAGAACTGTCGTCTTCGAGCAATGGCGGTTTATCTATTCGTGACAACGACACCAATCTGCGTCAATTGATGGACATGGGCTTTTCGAGAGAAAACGCGATCGACGCTTTGGGATATTCGACTACTCTGGAGCAAGCGACTGATTACCTTTTATCCAACCCAAGCCACAGTAGGGGATCAATGGAAATCGAAGGTGAAGACGACCAAATGATGCAAGCTATTGCAATGTCTCTGGGGTGTGGAAATACTGGTGATAATTTGAAGCAGTCATTAGAAGAACTAAATAAACTATTGAACGATTTTACCGATATTGCTTTGGCTACGTGTCTGAAGTTGCTCAACAAAATGCCGGAATTGGTTCACAAAGTTTGTGAGTTGTTGGTAACGATAATGAAAAGGAATGGGAAGGCGTACAGGAATTCACTACTAGATTCCGTAGTGGAGAATATTATTCAAAATGCAGAACCTATTGCATTATCCTGCGAATTACAAAGCTTGACTGCTACCGAATACAAATCGATGGCCGATTCTGAAAATGCCAAGCGATTAGCTAATTACACTCACTTATTTATACTATTCTATGAAGTATCCTCATATTACGAAATGAAAGTACCATTTATGGCTATGTTTGGTACTAATCTGTTGGAATTAATTATAAAGTTGGTACGCGTTGCAAATACTATGATGAACAAATTGTATAAAAGAACGTTAGTGACTGTTCCCGAACCCAACTGGCTGGCACCGTGTTTGTTGTTAATTGATACATATTCAAAAGTTGCTACTCGAACGGAACGGAAATTCAAAATGCACATGAGCACAAACAGGGTGTGGAGATGGTATGATTTGCTCACTGGCAATTGGACTCAATATTCTTCAACGAATAATAAGCTCATTAATGAAGCCTATTGGTCCGGAGAACAAAGCGTCAGGGTGACTTGTGGTAGAAAGAGGTACACAGTCACCTTCCCTAACATGCTGCAGATGAACGACGAGACCGGTAATAACAGACCGATCGCGATGACGCTTCTTTCCCTCTCCCACCCAAGTTGCACAAATGTTAACAAAATTCCACTTCAAGATCCTTTATTTGCCGATTTAACGGCTAAAGAACGGGCTAGGTGCACTCCTATACCTCCCTTGTCTAAAAAACAAATCAAAGAAATCGTTAAAGCTTGCGTAAGCTTGCTGCACCTACCTCTGGAGAGGGATTTGCTGCATTCCATTCTTCAGATTTGTGTGAGATTTACGAGGGACTTTGAAATGGCCAAAGTATTTGTCAACACTGGCGGAATCAAATGCCTTTTGAAGATGAGGTACATTAATGATTTTGGTGGATTCGGTGTCTTAGCTACAATATTGATTCGGCATGCTTTGGAGGAACCTACCACTTTGACTTACGCTATGGAAAAAGTTATTAGAGGTAGAACTCTATCTACAATACCCCCACCTTATAGAGATCTGGTGTATTTGACCAGACAACTAGGAGCAGCGGTTACAAGAGATCCAGACACGTTCTTTGAAGTGGCTAATAATATTTTGAGGATTGATATTTCTGTCAGTATTACAAAAGGTGATGGCATTGAGTCACTATGCCCTCTTCGTCTTGAGCCTTCAGTTAGAGTTAAAGCACCGCCTTTGGAAGATCCTGTGTCTATTCAAGTTGTGTCGGACTTACTGGATGCTTTGTTAAAACCAGTAGATGAGGAATATAAAAATAAATCTAAAAATTCAAACGCCGATGCTTCCTCTGCTTCCACCATGAATCCAGACGCTGGACCAAGCACTTCTGTTAATACCGATAAGAAAAAAGAATCTGCCAAAGGACCTTCCAGTAGTGAGAAAAAAGACGACGAAATGGGCAAGAAGCCTATGTTCCCAAAGTCGGTGATTCTGAAAGTTCTTGCTGATGCTGTTGTTTCATATGGCCCGATTGCCAGACTTATCACTGAATATGTTTATAAAGCAAACTGTGCAGATGTTATCAAAGAAGATACCTCCGCACTTGCATTTATTTTGGACAAAATTTTACCTGAAACTGAAAATTTATGTGATCCAGATTGTCCAGCTATGTGCAGAATGTTACTGGCATCTCTTGCCTCTGCCAATCATTCCCCAGATGCTCAATTGTCATTAGTTACGGAGGTTAAAACAGCATTGGCAAGGGCTCTAAACTTGCCAGAGTCTTCTGAAAAGCATAGTCAAATTCAGTACATTTGCAGCATCATTTCTACCATGATTGACAGCTGCCCGTTACACCATTCTGCCAGATGGAATACCACTGGCATTAATAACATCGTGAAGCTAATGTTTCGCAGAGGATTGTTCAATGATTTAGCCAAAATAACCCACTGTTTAGACTTGTCTTCCCCCAATACATCATTTACTGCGAATGCTGCGTTAAAGCCTCTAGAATCACTATCGCGAGCGATAAATCAACCCTGCCCTCACAGCTCTCCGAATAAAAATCGCAAGAGTCAGCAGAATAATGAAGATACTTCTGGAGCTCACAGCGGAACATCTACAGAAGGTACAAATGCCCAAGGTGATGAAATTGAGGACGCAGAAAACACGGACCATGACATTTCTGCCGTCGCCTCTAGTTTAGAGAATGCTGTCGCGACAGATAGCGATCGTCTGGAAGAAATGATGGAACATATTTTAGAAAGGGGCAGCGAAGATAATCCGAGTTACACCGATACTTCCCGAACTCGTCATACGATGGAGATAGATGATGAAGGACCAATTGCTTATGATCCTGAACGTGACGCCACTGTAATTTTGGTTAACCTTATCGTCGCCAGTTTTTACTTATTTGATGTTGTAGGAAGAATTAATGAGCACAGATTCTGGCGAGTCGGACTCCAATCCTTCTGATCAGGCCGAGGATGAAGGTAACGACGATAATGAGGCGGATGATGATAACATGGAAGACAATGATGATAACGATGACACGAATTATGAAGATGATGACAACAACGAAACGGAAAGGCGACCTGGTCGAGGTATGTGGAACATTCGGGTTTTTATGTTTGTTTATACCGATTTTTTTTTGCATTTTTGCGACAACAAGGGAGAAGAATCAGAGGTACAGGTATAAATGTTTAATTTTTTTAATAATTGTAACAATTAGTTACAGTTTGTATTAATTCTTCGACGTTATATTACAGAGTCAGATCTGCTCGAGGGAACCTCCAATTTATTCCGTTTAGCAAGCAACGACAGAGAGGAAGACGTGCTGATGATTCACTATGAGGGGGATAACGACACGACTTTACCCAGGATGATAAGGTGGAATGACAGTGGTTTTGCCATACCCATGTTGGACGATAATTCTGGAGATCACGGTAGTTGTTAAGTGGTAATTGTTTCGCACTTTACCGATTGTTTTCCTTTACAGTAATCATACACCCACTTTTGTTATCAAGAAGTAATATTGAGTCAAGTCAAAATACGGCTACAAGGAACCAGCGGGCCAACAGAGCTCGAAGATACCAATATTTATTTAATCCAAGAAATCCAAATCCACCTGTAATTTTGCAAAGATTGTTGGGCACTCATGATCCACACACAATGGCAAATATGATGACTGCCAACAATATTTTAAGTGCCCCAACTGAACTTAGTAGAGAACAGGCCAGAGTTGTTATAATGGACAATTTGGGTATAATCCCGCCCAATGAGGAACAAATCGATTTTGTGGATCAGTCGGGTTATTTATTTGGTCCGAGTTTAGCGGCAACGCTAAGTCACGTGCCACCTGTAGTCCACTGGTGGAATATGGAATCAAAGTTACTGGATTTAGAATCCATCTTTGATTGTACTTCGTGGATTTGTAATAGGCTAATTCCAAACTTGATAAAACACAGATATGAAGAATTGAATGCCACAAAGAAGAAAATTTTTGCGAAACAATTAAGGGTCAATAAAGAGACATCGCTAATAAAGATAGACAAAGTTAGAGCGCATAATGATGAGGACAGGGAGGCAGTCTATTCTTCAACCATCGATTTAGATTCCAGTTTATTGACTAATGGCGAAGGTATTGTTGTGGGAGACTAGTAAAGATATCATTGTATGTGAATTGTATTCCATTAGGTGAACAATCTGGGAATACTCCTCCCGAGTCTCAAGAACCACAGCCAGTTCGGGAAGAATCAGAAATTCACAATGTTGCCAGCAGTATACCTTTAATTTTCTCCGGGAGTAATGTCTCTGTGGATGCCAGTTCTCGAGGTATTTTTTATTTGCGATTTTCTGACTTCATATTAATTTATGACGAACTCTCTTGATCATTTTTATCTGCATTTTATTTCAGGCCGTGGTAATGGAAACGAAGATGGACCCGACATTCTGACGATTAATGGAGTTTACATCGGTTCGAGTAATCAGGATGGTAACTTGGGTAATATTTCTTCTTATCTTTTATTAACATAATGTTATTGAAAACTAGATTCGGATGAAGATATTGATATCGATATTGATCCTGTAACCTTAACTTCCGGCTTCAGAATGCCTTGTAACATCTTGGGAGACTTAAACACCAGGGACGGTATGTGATTTGCAATTATTGTTTTATGTTACTCATTGTTCATTAAATTAGATTTGCACGAGGACATTGATATCGATATTGATGCTATTGATGCACTAGCTTCGAACTTCTCTAACCCTCTGGGTCATGCTGGTTCGAGAGAAGGTAACCTCTTACTTGTTTTTAATTTACATTGGTTTTCTCTTCTCTCTTTTATTAAGATATTGATGGGGTACCTTTAGAAACATCAGATAATTCACTAAATGATTCCAATGATCCTTCCGAGAGCAACATTCAAAACGAGATGGTTTTGTCTCCATTGCAACTGAGCTTATTGAGAAGTGAGAACTCCAACTCGGACTCTCAGCAAAGTTTGCCAGATGAGCAAACGCAAAACGCGTCAGTCCAAACCAGAAACGTGGAAAGTATTGACAGAAATGACGATAGTAATAGTAGAGCCGATTCAGACGTAAGGTCGGAAAATGAGTCTTCAAATCCGTTTGGGAGACCTAGACCTCCAAGGGGAAGCGTGAGGCTTGTTCCTCGTCATCTTTTGACTGAAGACATTGGCCGCCAGAGATTAATATCAAGGCAATTTCTGCGGGATGAGAATGACACTAACCGGCCCCATTCGTTGCAAGCGATTTTCGAGGAAGCCATCAACCAGCGTAATCAGCGCATCGAAGCACTTCCAGCGGAGGACCAAGACGAAAGGCAAACAGAAGGCGCCAACAACGACGCTTCCACCTCTGCCGGAACAAGTGGCGACGCTGTATCAAACGGCGGTAGCAGTCAGACCGCCGCAGGACCTAGCTCGGCGTTGGACGACGAAGAAATTCCAGAAGGCGTAGATCCGTCATTTTTAGAAGCATTGCCACCCGAAATGAGACGAGAAGTACTGGAGCAGCACAGAATTCTCTGTTTGCAACAGAGGATTGCCCAACGCGCTGCAGAACATTCCGTAGCGACCGAACAGCAGGAGGAAACGACTACTTCTAACGAAGTCAGTCCCGAATTTTTAGCCGCCCTTCCACCGGCATTGCAGGAGGAGGTTCTTACGCAACAAAGATTGGAGCAACAAAGACAGGCTGCCGCCAGAGCGCCCCCCAATGAACCTGTCGACGCGCAGGCATTTTTCCAGACGTTACAACCCTCGCTAAGGACGATGGTAATGCTATTAGACGTTAGTTAAGTGTTTTTCGATATTACCATTGAGAGAAATTTTTTTTTCCATTGCAGATTTTGTCGGATATGGAGGACTCGCAAATGTCGGCGTTGCCTCCCGATTTGGCGGCCGAGGCGCAAAATTTGCGCCGCGATTGGTACGCACGAAACCGCCAGATGGCGCAGCAACGGTTCCTTCAAAGTAATTTGATCATACGGCACACGCGGGGCGGAAGGCAAACCCACAGGCCCATAAGCTTCCCTCGCGGCGCAGCCTGGAGCCAATGGAGTCGAGAATTTATGAACAATCCGGTTCAGAACAGTTCCCAAATCAAAATTAGAGGAAGACAATTGCTAGATCATGAAGGTATCGCTTGTCTCTTAATATTGTTGTTTACCGACGATCCGCACCTAAATAAACTAAGGCTCCATCGCGTGATTAGGAACTTGTGTTACCACAATCCCACGCGGGAATGGATTATAAATGCTCTTCTTGCCATTATCGATAAAAGCGTTCACGTTAAACAAGATGAGAACCTGAACAAGCCTAGCAGAAAAGTACCGAGACCGGGACCTCTTATTAGCAAATTGTTAACTGACGCGAAACATCTGCAAACGGGAGGAAATTGGTTGACCATTCGCATGGAGGCGGCACTCGGTTGCGCCGCCAACGTGTTTCTTGTAAGTAAAGTTTCTGGTAAAAAGGCCGACAGAATTAGCGGTTCCGCCATTATAAGCATTCATCCGCAAGCCGCCCCTATTGTTTGTAAAAATGCATTGGATTTGTTTACGGCCCTCGCGAAAGCTTTTCCTTCCTGTTTGCTTCCAATTAAATGCGTTAAAGATGACGGCGACAAGAATCCAATTACGCCGGTGAAACTCAATTCCAATAATCAACCCGATTTTTGGGACGTGTTAGTGAAACTGGACTCGGCTGGGACTAAAAAAGGCAAGAGCATTGCCAAGACGCCGACTTCTAGTACGGCTGAAACTGAAGCTGCGGCTTTCGATAATACAGTTTTTGGTCGTCTACTCAATATGTTATCGTCGCCGGTCGTAAACAGGAACACCCAGTTGACAGATAATTTATTGAAACTCCTCTCGGTCACCACTTCCGGCATGCCCGAACTCGTTAAGCCCCATAGAAACAAAAAAGGCTCTACAACCAATCAGGGACTAGATTTCGCGAGTAATCCACCTACACAAGCTCTCAACTTGGCCGTCAACGTGATCACTTACAAAAATTGCTCCGAGGAAGGACTCGAATTTATCACCAACTTGCTACTGAATCTGGCTAGTTCTTCGGTAGATATGAGTTTTATGGTAATCGATCAGTATGGTTGTTTAGTTACTAGTTTCACTATTAGCGTATTTACTTTTTAGATATTGAATTTGCTTCTGAATGGAGCGGTGGAAATAGGGAACATAGTTGAGAAACAAATCAAATATATGTTGAATGATCTTAAGGAGCTGATCAATACGCAGAAAAGAAAATTGGAGGAGGGCGGACCGTCAACATCTAAGGGGGTGATTTACAATAGGTTTACCAACGAGCAGGTGGTGATAACCGCTTCTGCAAAAGTGAAAACCGTCTGTGAGCTGCAGTTACCCTCAATGATCCCTTTGACATCAAAATCTTCGAGCCAGATCTTTTTCTTGCGGATACTTCGGGTTATCGTCCAGATAAGGAACTCTATAAAGCAAAACATGAAAAGAAGTATGTTCTTATATTAATTTGACGTAATTGTTACATGTGGCTCCATATCCTTTACAGATAGCACGGAAAATTGCAAGTTGCCGGCCTTAAGTGAACAGCTGACTAGTCTTGGCACTCTCTGGGACACTCTAAGTGAATGCCTCTTAGAACTGGAACATGCCCCAGATCATCACGCGGTGTTAGTGCTTCAGGTATGTATCGAAGAAGCGTTTTTCTATTTTCGATGGTCTAAGTCTTTCGATTTGTTTCCAGCCGGCCGTAGAGGCTTTCTTCCTTGTTCACTCGCCGCAACAGGGGGCTATTACTTCCAAAGATAAATCGGTAGATGTTGGTGCAGTTGGTGATACACAAGTACTTGTGCGCGAGCAAGTAGCGCCTGCGGATGAGATCAGTGATAATCGTGGGGAGGCTTCGACGGATCCGCCCTCGGAACGTTCCGCAAACTCGATTGAACCGGCAGAAGAAGCAAATAGGATTAGTTTCGATTTTGAACACAGACAGGTGGAGATAGCCGCCAATCGGGTGGTCACACCTGAACAGCAAAAGTTCCTAGGATTTGCGGAGAAACATAGAACGGTGCTGAACCAAATACTGAGACAGAGTACCGCCCATTTAGCCGACGGACCGTTTGCAGTACTTGTTGATCACACCAGAATATTGGACTTCGACATTAAACGGCGGTACTTCAGAACCGAACTCGAAAGAATCGATCATGGTACTCGAAGAGAAGAAACGGCCGTGCACGTCAGACGGAGCAATGTATTCGAAGATTCTTTCAGAGAACTATTCAGAAGAACTCCGGAGGAATGGAAGAATAGATTTTATATCGTGTTTGAAGGTAGGCTGTAATTTTCGCGAGTGTCGTTCTGGCTCTCAACTATTTTGTTTCATTTTTAGAGGAAGAAGGTCAGGACGCTGGTGGTCTGTTAAGGGAGTGGTACGTGATCATATCGCGTGATATTTTCAACCCTATGTACGCATTATTTACCGTATCTCCCGGGGACAGAGTAACATACATGATTAATTCCGCTAGTCATTATAATTCGAACCATCTGTGTTACTACAAATTTGTTGGAAGAGTTATAGGTTTGGAAGGTTCTTTGTTTTTCCTCGATAGGTGTTTAATGTTTCCTCTTGGTTTTCAGCCAAGGCAATTTACGATAACAAGTTGCTGGAGTGCTACTTCACCAGATCCTTCTATAAACATATTTTGGGAATTCCCGTTAAATACACAGATATGGAGAGCGAAGATTACAGTTTTTACCGCGGATTGGTCTATTTAATGGAAAACAACATTAACAACCTCGGCCTAGATCTGACGTTCAGTACAGAAATCAGCGAGTTTGGTGTGACCGAAACAAGAGATTTAATTCCTAACGGGCGACATATTCCAGTTACAGAAGAGAACAAGATGGAGTATGTGAGGCTCGTTTGTCAAATGAAGATGACGGGAGCGATAAAACAACAGTAAACTTGAGGAAATACGAGAAAAACGAAGTGAGATATTTAACTTTGGATGTTTCAGATTAACCGCATTCCTCGAAGGCTTCTACGACATCATCCCGATGAGGTTGATTTCAATTTTTAACGAGCAAGAATTGGAGCTTTTAATTTCTGGACTGCCCAATGTTGATATCGACGATTTGAAAGCAAACACTGAATATCACAAATACCAATCAAACTCGCTACAGGTAAATTTGATGGGACTTTGGCTTAGATTGTAATGAATAATATTTCGCATTTTCGTTGACAGATACAATGGTTTTGGCGTGCCCTGAGGTCGTTTGATCAAGCGGATCGTGCCAAATTTCTTCAGTTTGTTACCGGGACTTCCAAAGTGCCACTGCAAGGTTTTGCAGCACTTGAAGGCATGAATGGTGTTCAGAAATTCCAGATCCATAGAGATGATCGTTCCACAGATCGTTTACCATCCGCCCACACTTGGTAATTTTTTTTTTGTGTGTTCCATATATATGAGAAAGAGAGAGAGAGTGAGGGAGTGAGGAGAGAGAGAGAAGGAGAACTAGAACGTTAACGACTCATATGTTGTTTTGGTTTTGCATTTTAGTTTCAACCAACTGGATCTACCCGTTTACGAGACTTACGACAAGTTGAGGGCCCATCTATTAAAAGCTATTCATGAATGTTCAGAAGGTTTTGGCTTTGCTTAATCCTTTAATGTTTAAGACTGATGTGTTAATTTTGTTTATAATTATATCAGTTGCTGATAGTCGTACTAGTGTATATAAATTGTCTCTGTGATCAAAGCGAACGCAGATAGATGTTCCCTTTGATGGGCCGCTTTTGTGGCCACTTGTCGTGGAGGCTGCAAAAAACAATTTAAATGTTAAGTGTACAGAAACCCATAAAACTGTAAAAATTGGATTCTATTTAATTTTTTTTTTTTTTATAATTTGTTTGTTCAGAGACCTTACTAGGTTGGTTACAGTTCTTTGTAAACTTGCTTAAAGACGAGGTGTTGTATTTTTGTAAAGGGCCCCAAGGCATGAGAGTGTGATAAAAACGAATTATGAAAGTTAGTCTTTTAACACTGTATTTAATATGTTTTTGTACGAATTAGTGTGGTTGAGGATTTTTGGTCATTCAAAATTCTTTTGTTATTGGTTTTGACTGCACCGGAGTGATGAATAATTTTATTACTATTTCTCATTTTTTTATTACCAACTAATTTTACCTTTGATTGCTTCGATCTACCTTTTGACGCATCAATATTTAAATGCAGGAGTGGAGTCATGAAGTTGTAATTATATTTTGGAATTTTCGTTCGCTTATCGGATTCCTTAGAGCTAATTCCTACAGTGCAGCCAAAACTTGTAGGCCAAAATTTCTCCACTATCAACAGTAAAACACAATTTTTGTTTTTAATACCCAATGGATTTTATTAGGAACCTTATTTTTATAAATTGTTAAGAATTCAGTGTAAGTACAGTTTATAAATGTAAGAACTCATTGAGATTCAATAAATACATATTTCAAATAAGCCGTGCCTTATTCTCATTCAATCCACTTTTATTTTCCGCATGACATCTTAAAATTTTTTCAATTTTTATAACACATTGGTGGATGCAGAATAATTTACAATTGGTTGATCCTGATACTTTTCCTACCTCCTACCTCGAATTTTGTCAAAAACATCAAATTTCTCACAAAACGATCGCATATTTACACTACCGCAGCCACTATAAATTTAAAAATATTCTAGACCATAATTTTGAGCGGTGTTGCCAGATTGCTCGAGATTTCCTAAAATGCGGGGGAAACGGACAAACAAAATCCTGGAATTACGGAAATTTTGCACTGTTTGACATCACGCCAAAATGTAACAAATTCTATGACGTTCTAGAACATTTGTTAATTTACGGTGGAGGTGCACATTTCAATCGTTGATCATTTTTTGAAGAAATTTACACAAAACGTCCTATTATATCCATTAGCGCATCCGCCAGAATTTTAAAAATATTCTAGAACAACATGGAATTTTGTAGATTTTTGACAGTGTTGCCAGAGTGGGCAATATTTCCGATGTGAAAAAATCGACTATGAAATTTCTAAGAAAAATACCCGAAATTGAGAAAACTTTACACAACCTTGCAACACTGAAAATTGCGAAAAATTCTACGATATTCTAGACCATTTTGGGCATACTTTTGCCAGTTATTACGACAATTTGTCAATTGTATCAGAACAGCACAAGTGAAAAAAAAATAAAATAATTTCGAAAATTCAACCAATGTTCTGAATTTTCATGATACTTTTGGTACGTCTTCGCTAGTTATTATTTGGGCACTCGAACAAATACACACGCATGCACTTAAGATTTATTGAATGGAATAATTAAAATATTAAATGTAACATTTCAATTAATAAATTCGTGATGTGTGTCTGCCGATGGTTGTTGGTACCCCAAACGAGCAACTGGAAACAAAGAACAGCAAATATTATGTCAAGCATGTAGTGTGGAAGGAAATAGTAAGGAAACAGTGCGGTCGATGTGTCTGCACGTGTGTTGGGGTGTAAATTAAGTTGTCCGTCCTATCGACCCCACCTGTGTGTCTGTCGGTATCGTGTCTGTCTGCCTGCCTCGTGTCTGACGGTCTGTCTGTCTATCTTGTGTCTGTATATCTGTCTGTCAGTCTAACTTTCTATGTATCTCGTGTCTGTCTGTCTATACCATGTCTGTATGTCTCGAATCTGTCTGTTTGTCTGTCTCGCCGTCTATGTGTCTCGTCTCTGTCTGTCTATTCCACGTCTGTCTGTATGTCTTATGTCTGTCTCGAGTCTATCTGTTTGTCTGTCTGTCTCGTATCTGCCTGTCCGTCTCTCTCGCGTTTGTCTGCCTCGTGTCTCGCTGTCTATGCATCTCGTGTCTGTCTATCTGTCTATCTTCTATCTGTCTGCATGTCTCGTGTCTGTCTCGAGTCTGTCTGTCTATCTCGTGTCTCTCTATCTGTCTGTTTGCCTGTCTGTCTGTCCGTCTGTCTGTCTCGTGTTTGTCTATGTGTCTCTTGTGTCTGTTTGTCTCGTATCTGTCTGCCCCATGACTGTCTGTCTGTCTTGTGTCTATCTGTCTGTCTCGTGTTTTTTTTTGTACAGCGAAAGAATTTTATTTACGTATGATCAGGCTTAGCTGTTGTGAATGCGTACGTAAGACTCCAAGATATTAATACCCACTGAAACTTCCGTTGTTCTCCGACCTTTGATCCCCACGGTATCCGCCGTTAGACATTAGTTCGTGGGGAGGATATAGCTACTGCTCTTCCTTTTGGTAGCTAGGGTGTTATTCTTTCTTCTAATTGGCGTTTTAGTTCTTCTTTGTATAGAACGCAAATCGGCGAGGACTTCAGTTACGTACCCGCTGATGGCATTCCAAGCAGCTTCTGATGTCAACATTTCTTCTACTAGTGTCTCTGGTCGAATTTTCCGTGGTGATTGTCTCCAGTTCATCTCGCTGTGGAGTAAACCGTGGGCACTCGAAGAAAACGTACTTTGCATCCTCGATAACTAATGGGTAAGACGGGCACACCGGAGAATCTTTGTGCTTGAAGCGGTGAAGATAAGCTCGAAAGCAGCCGTGTTCTGACAACATCTGCGTTAGATAATAGTTGACCTCGTCGTGATATCGGTTCAGAAGTACTGTTTTGATCTGTTGCGGACCGCCGATGTTCGGCTTTCACACCTAATGCTATAGTTGGCCCAGCCAATCCTTATTTTTCAATGTTCTCCGACGACCTTCTGCGCTATTGAAGCTGCTAGGATCGATCACCTTTGTAGTCTGGGTACCTATGAAAGCTGCATGTACTTTTTTGTAGATCTTCTGCCATACCACAGTCATTCCCTTTTTGCAAAAGCCGCTAGGATATCAGCCTTCCCTGTAGTTTCGTCGAGGTCTCGAATTACTAGGAGTATTTCTGCAATAGTGTTTTTAACGGCTTCGCTTTCTCAGCACTCTCTCTTGCCAACGTGTCTCCGGTCCCCGTTTTACGGATCTTCTCAACAGTATCGCAGACCTGTTCGCTTGGCACTGCCGTCTTTTTCGAAGGCTTAGGCGGAGATTGATCTTGGGGCTGCTTTGGTCGCTCTTTCCTCTTGCCCTTTCATGATTAGCAAACCTTCCAGGCTGACTTCTGGCTCTCCTTAGAGGCTCTTTAGGTTCGCCCTGCTTATTTGTTTGTTAATCTGCCATTTCCGAAGATCGATTCGTCCTTTTTGTCTCCCTGGTCGTGCGTTCAAAATGAGCAACGGATTCGCTGTCACCATCGGTCTCCATCTCAAACTCAGTTGGTGTGTCAGTGGTATCCTGAAAACTCGACAGACTAGGTTGTACTGTTCTTGATCCCACGAATCAAGAGGAAATATGGCACTCGTTGGCTCTCTCTCGTCTCTCTCTATCTCTCTCGCCTGTATGCCCGTTGAATTGAGATTGAGATGAAAAATGTATGGATATTATTGTCATTGCCACAGTTGTGCTAAAATTAACGCTGCTTTTACCCGTGCCGACGACAATGGCCAACAGCAGCGCGTGCAAAAACTTGACGATAAAACAAATCTCGTTTCTCCCTGCGAGCGTTGAAGTATTTTGGTTCCACTCGAGGTTATTACGTATGCAAATTAATATAATGATCAGGTAAATCCTAAAATCTGCGTTTAAAACCAAAATAACCCCGCAACCGCAACAGAATAACCAAAGACTCGTACAAGACATTTTTGGGGAAGGTATTGTCATAAACTCGCGGTCTCGCGCAGGTCACGTTTGTAGCCGTGGTTCACATGTCCGAAGCATACGTTTAACTTGATTTCATAACAACAAGTCAACGTGAGGAATAATTATTTTCATCATTTATTACACCTACGAATAATCTAACGTTTTTATGTAACTGGGCATAGTCGCATTTAACGCACTGTAAACTATCGATTATTTCTTTTTGTTTTTCCGTGGTGTTTAAGCAGGAACAGGATGACGTGCGTTTACAATGATTTCTAAAAATCATTTCCCTTTACTTCACAATGTTACAAAATTAACAAGACTAAATGGTAAACACAATCACTCCGAGATTCTTTGAAAGTACCCAGACCATATTTTTCCAAATGCGTCAACAAACGACGGGAAAATAACAGCCTCCGGATCAACAACAAGTGAAGATTATTGAAGATCGAAGAAATATGCGGTTTAAAATGAATTTATCAATTACCATCCTCGAACACTAAAGGGCATTGATTTTTCCCAACGAGCAGACAACAATCGGACACGTTTATAAGAATCGTAACGAGATGACGCAATTCGGAAATAAAATGCAATGAATAAGCTTAACTTATTTCTGTGCATTTGCGAACACGTGAAGACGAAGAAAGCCCAATCAAGGTGATCTGTTCCAACGCGATAGCTCGACGAGGTCATTTCAGCATTTTATTTTCTGGAGGATACATACATGGCCGACAAGGTTGATTGACATATTACGCATCTATCTATATAGTAGGTACGTATAGGGAGATTCCACATGTACAAACCGTTTAGCCAGCACAAAGACAATAAATGCATAAAAAAAGCGCCAATTACTAATTCCTCACCTGCTCCGATTTCAATTTTATCTAATGTTTCGATAATTGAATCGCTACTATTTTATTACTGGCCTAATTATACAATAACGGTTAACCTGCTTTTTACGGATTTCTATAGTAACTGATCACAACAACAACAAAAAATAAATTATTTCCTCAAGATTAACATTTAAGCGCAAATAATTTTCGAAATTAAACTCGTAACCTTTACAGTAACGGAACGACCTCGTCTTCTTGCAACGTTTGATTTAACGTTGCAGGAAGAAAACAAACCGATTGCCATTTTTTTCTCCATGAGATACCCAGAGTATTCCGACTTTCTGAAGGAAATCTTGAAAAATGTTCACTTCTGGTGTTTATGGTGATTCGTTTTTTTTTCTCTTTTAGAGGAAAAAAGCAGTCAGATGTAAATCGAGGACATAATAATAAAATATATTAAATACTGCGGCGCGAAATAAGAGACCTCGATCGACAAGGTTGTATTACGCATAGTAATAAGGAACTGCACCGTTGTCACGCCCGATATTGATGAAAATCGCGTATGCACAGTAGGCATTATCGCATTTAGAAGAAATCAACATGAAACAAATTTGCACGACATTCGTATCCTATACGATGCATAAAAATCCGATAAGTCACATTCAAACCGTCTTACGACTTTCTTTCTGACACAGATTTTCGAAAATTGGGTTATCGGCGTGTTCGATTTTTTTTCTTGCGGACGCGCAACTGGTGCACATAACTGGTGACCTAAATATCGAGAAATTTCGCTTAGTGTATTATTCTTAGTACGACTGATCTCGTTCTGTGACGCAATTGGTTTTGATTTTAAAAAACCGATTACCCCGGTTCACGATTTCAACTTTTCTACCGCTTAGTTTTATTTATAAATTACCGCTTGGATAAGGGAAG